AAATCAGCATATCTTTTAGTTGCTTCTATCCTATGTAATGGTAATCTCAGTTCATCTTTGTTTCTTGTGTCGTGTGTGTGAAAGTTTGCATTCGCATTAAATTTACTTCTATTGTCATAAACATACATCAAGGTAGCCAAACTGTATGCACTTAGTACGGTAAGTATACATTCTGTTTTAAATACATCTTTGCAGCTGTCAGTAGTTTTAAGATTGCATAAAGCTCTCACCGCCTTCTTCTGCAAACCAGGTGAATGACCCCAAACAACTATACCATATCTATATATATATTCATGTAACAGCATGAAAATTTGCAAAATAGGCTATTTTGGCCACTTTATGAGATGCAATTTTGATGAGACGTCTAATTGTAAAAATTGCCGACGTTAATTTTTTACTTATGATATCAGTATGTGGATTCCACGTTAACTTGGGATCAAGAGATAAACTCAAGAACTTCGCGGGTAAGTTAGAGGGTAATTTTATATCGATGACAATTGATTCTGTTTTATTTTTATTTACTTTCAGGCAGTTGTTCGTGAACCACTCCTTTGACTCAGTTAAAGCAGCGGAGAACTTTAAAGGTAGTAATTGCTGATCAGAATCTTTTATTAATACGGAAGTATTATCTGCGTAAATACACATATCCTCACGGACATTAAACGATAGATCATTAATGTATGTTACGAATAATAAAGGACCCAGTATTGATCCCTTTGGTACTCCACTTATTAGTTTAGATGTTCCAGACGTATTATTTACACAAAAAACATATTGCTGCCTACCCGCAGGTGACGAGTCAGGTGACGATATAATCGTGACTCACCGTATCAAACGCTTTACTTAAATCAAGAAAACTGATTTGCACCGACTGTTGTTCATTCAGGGCGTTTTGTACAAAATCTATAACATCTATTATTGCCGTAATAGTTGACCTACCACTACGATACACTACGATCTAAAAATTTTAGTAACCTTTTAACTAGTAATTTTTCAAAAACCTTCAAGACTATGGGGAGAATAGATATTGGTCTATAGTTTTCGCATTCGTTTACATCTCCTTTTTTATGCAATGGCAGCACCTTTGCGATTTTAATCTTTTCCGGAAAAATTCCTTCCGTGACGCATTGATTGAAAATTTCAGCTAACGGATCCGCACATGCTGGTTCAGCATTGTAAAGAATTGGACAATTGGTTTTACGGCCTAACATTTAAAAGTTTGAGGAGCATTGCTTATGAGTATGCCATCTTAAATAAACTTAAACATCCATTTAATCTGATTACAAAGTTAGCTGGTAGGGACTGGGCATACAAATTTATAAAAAAATATAATCTCTCTTTAAGAACACCAAATCCAACTGGTTTGGCCAGGGTAATGGGCTTTAATAAAACTCAAATCGATGTTTTTTCTCAAATCTAACCAATCTTTACAAAAAATATGAATTTCCTCCGGGTTCTATATACAACATGGATGAAAGTGGAATGTCTACCGTGCCAAATAAGGTGCCCAAGGTTGTCAGTAGTAAAGGAAAAAAATTGGTGGCAAAGATATCATCTGCTGAGCGCGGTGAAACAATGACCATTGTATGTGCCATGAATGCTGCAGGAAATTTTGTCCACCCAGCTTTGATATTCCCTCGTAAGCGAATGAAGAATGAACTTATAGATGGAGCTCCGCCTCCGCCCCAATCTATCGGTATGATGTCAGACTCAGGATATATTAACAGCACTTTGTTTTTGGACTGGTTAAAACATTTTCAAGTCCATGTGAGAGCTGATGCTGAGCATCCTGTGCTATAGATATTAGACAACCATTCATCCCATAGATCACTGCAGGCTATTTTATTTTGTAGGGAAAATTTCATACACTTACTGACAATCCCACCGCATAGCAGTCATCGAATTCAACCATTGGACCGATGTTATTTCAAACCACTAAAAACGCTTTACGCGCATGAATGTGATCATTGGTTAACCAACAATCCAGAAAGAAATATAACCCACATCCAGATTGCGAAGATATTGGGGCGCGCCTATGAACGTTGTTGATCTACATGGATAAGGTTATCAAAGCTTTCGAGTCCTGTGGAATTTATCCGCTGAATAAGAATGTGTTTACCGAAGAAGATTTTCTTCCTTCAACTGTTACCGCCCGAAATGTCCAGATCCAGCAAATAGATGCTAGCGAATCAGACTCAGATCCTGAATCATCTCTACCATTATCCGTGCTGCGCAAAAATACAGTCAAAACACTTTTAACCCCTAAAAAGCAGTCAACAAATAAAAGTCCGGTTGCAAGTACCTCAGCAGTAGAAATTTCAATTGATGACCTTTATCACACACCTTCTACATCTACAATCGGCCCAAAAAACAAGCTAGTTTTTCCGGTAGAAATTATTTCGCTCCCTAAAAGATCTGAAGATCAGAAAAGAAGAAAGCGGGGCAAAAATCTGAAATACTGTCCGATACCCCGTTTAAAGAAAAACTTGAGACAGAACGAGCAAAAAAACTTCAAAAAGAAAATTTGCAAGCCAAGAAAGGTACAATGAGAAAAATCAGCAGCAACAAGAAAAAGAACGATTGCAAAAAGCCAAAACTATCTTCTTCTATAACACATTCGTGTCCTGCGTACTCCAAAAAATATAGTGACCCACCCACTGAAGACTGGATTCAGTGCAACCAGTGTCAAAACTGGTGGCACGAAAACTGCACTGCATACGAAAATATTGGAACATTTATTTGTGAGTTTTGCCAGTAAAAATAAGAACACAAGATTATTGCCCCACATGTTCATGACTTTTGCCCCAATACGGTGGGGCAAAATTCCCATTCTGCGTTTTTTTATATTTTTAAAATTTTCTTTTGTTTTGTTCGAACCAAATATTTATATTTTCATACATAAATGATTGTATTAACATACCTGAGAGTAAAGTGTTTTTTAGTTCACATTTGTTATTTTCATAATTATTTAAACCTTAGGTGCGTCCTTTTGCCCCACGTTACTCTATCAATTTTCATTTTTTTCAGATATATTTCATGGGAGCAATATCTTTCGCAATATTAGCAGTGACAGAGATAAAGTAATCACGTAAATCGGAAGCTTTTAGATTAGAAGCAGTCTTCGCTGTACGGTTTGTTTGACGCTCGTTGTTGATGACATTCCATATGGCTTTGATTTTATTATTAGCATTTAAAATATATTCATCAACGGTTCGCTTCTTATTTTGGATAGTCATGTTCATATATTCTTTTTATATTTCCTATATAAGTGCAAACCTTCAGCATCTTTAGTTCTTTGAACTATCACAAATAAGGCATCAAGCGTTTCTTGTAGTTTTTTGAGTTCCGGAGGATTGTTGACATATACTCTTTTAACATTTTTTGTAGCTTTTTTAGGAAAGCAGATATCAAACTCAGTCATAAATTTAGAATGAAATATAGAGAATGCTTCTTGAGCTGTTTATCTATGAACTGTAGTATGTTTTTGTTATTATAACATCTTTTTATCTCTGTTTTAATTTTAGGCTTAATGCAATGTACTTTGTCGCTTACGTGGGACACCTGTATATTTTCATTGAGCTATAAAGATACTGCCGTCTTTGAGATTTTAGTGTAATGTCAAATTATATTGACATGTTGCATTTTATGTGGGATAAAGTAAGTAGGTACGCCCTGGTTTTTATTATGTTTAAACAAATAAGTAATTAAATTAGTAACTACAGTTTACTTAAAATCCTCTCTGGTTTTAAAACTCCCGCCAAATATAACTGAAACATTACACTGTGTAAACGTGATTTTTCATTTTACTCCTCCGAATTAAGAAATAGAGTATAGTTCCGGTTTTCTTTTTCTTATTAAAACATCTGTTTTGTTGAGCTCTTCCGGAATAAATCCGCTTATCTCTCGGATGAGAAAATGAATGAAGGAGATTTCTATGTAATCCAAGCTGTGTATTCTCGAGGCGAAACCTTTTGAATTCTAGAGCAACATTCTTTTTTGTTTAAACAGAAGACTACTACAAAAAAATCTTTTGAATCAAAGCCTATGAAAGAAAAGAACCTTCTTTATAAAGGTTTTTCTGAATCAATTCACGTTTCACCACACCTACGCTAGATTAAAGAGCAAAGGTCATTGTTACAATTCCCAGAAAAAAAATTTTACTTCACAAATAAAACTTTATCCAAACAAATACGTTCATAAACATTAAAATTATGGTTTATAATAATGATTAAGTACATTAAAAATCGATTTTGATAAGAAAGTGCTAATAACCGAATTAGATGTGAACCGTAAAATAATGTTTAAACATATGCGTCATAGATTCGATTAAAAATAAGTTTGTTGTAAAATTGTGTTTATTTAAACAGCTAAATCGATACTGGGTTACTGATACTACTACTATGTACTACGACGGTCGTTGTTCGAGATTTTAATGATTACGTTGGGTCAAATTGAGGTTACTATAAAAGAATTTAACCAAATCATAAACGGATTTAGACAAAAACGATAATTTTCGCCAAACTCGTAATCATAAAATATTTTATTGAAACAATCACATGATACACAAAAATAACCTATAAGTTAATCCAACTTCGCAAAAAAATTTTTACACGATAAATCGGCCAAATAAATCGATTTGTTTTGGGCCCCTTTTCAAATTTCGTTTCTTTTAAACTTACCACAAACATATTTTCCCGATTTCGGTGTAGATGTCATATTTAAAGACGCTCGACCCACATCTTCACACACACTCACACCACCCAATTTTTTTCCCCATAATTTAATTTACCTCAAAAAAAATACATACTGTTCTCAAAAAAATCGCGGTTGGGAGGGGGGTCGAAAGGGCGCAGTCCCTTTTACTAGGAAATGTCAATAAACGTTATCGGCGGTGTCCCCCCAAACAACCTCCGAAAAAACAGCAAAAACGCCATCTACGTTTGACATTTGACGTCTCCCCTCCTTCGATCGATACAGCGGATTCGCGAGTTATTCTCCGTCGGTAAAATCGCATTTTAGCTGTCAAAATCGTAGCTGTCACCTGGTTATTATCATTAACGTTTCGGTGCTACTTTTATTATTCTTATCTTTTGATATACACGTATTTACTTAAGAATCCCATGGTAATTACCCCGAATTTTATTGTATCGTAAAAATGGTTTTATCAGTGTATTTTTTTTATTGAGGTTAAGAAATCAAGATTTTGAGGGAAACTTTATACATTATTTTTAAAGGTAAGTCCTTATTAGCTTAAGTCTCCTTATTTTTATTAATTTAAGAATTAAAAATTAGTTTTGCTTTGTTATTATTTATTATGTTATTAATATAAATAATAATGTTAATTCTTTTTATTATTAAGAGATGGCGCTGTTAAAAATGGTTTTATTAGTGAATTTTTTTTGTTGAGGTTAATAAATTTACTTTTTGAGGGAAATTTATACATTATTATTTAAAGGTAAGTTTTTATTAGCTTAAGTATCCTTATTTTTATTAATTTAAGTTTTAAAAATTAGTTTTACATTGTTACTTTTATTATTAAGAGATGGCGCTGTTTAAAATTCTTTAAAATTAACCTAACTTTTCGTTTTAAAGTTTTAAAATAAAGATTATAATCACCTCAACCAACAATAGAACCATTGTTTCCATTTAAACCATTCAAATCGAAATCTAGGCCAGTTCAAACTTGAAATTTCTATTCGACTCGTTTAAATTTTTTTAAAAATGAATATTCTTTGTTTTACAGATAAAATTAAACGATGGGCAACTCAGGATTATCTCAACATATTGAAACGGCGAAGAAAACGGGAGTTTTACGAGTTTCCGGCAGCCTAAATGATTTTCCACCCGGATTTCTCCAACTTGAAGGGTCTTTGAGAACATTGGATCTTTCGGATAACAAATTTGTTACTCTCCCGAACGATATTAGCCGCTTCATGCAACTAAAACATCTCAATTTGAATAAAAATAAGCTCACGAAAATCCCTGATTGTATTGGAGCACTAACTAAGTTGGAAACTTTCAACATCTGTCACAATAATTTAACCAGTTTACCACGAACAATTACGAATTTAATTAATTTAAAACAAGTTTTTTTAAGTGATAATCATATCAAAGATTTCCCCACGGTTTTCTGCGGGTTAAAACATTTGGATGTGTTGGATCTGTCTCGTAATGAGATACGATGTGTTCCGTCGGAGATTAACGGTTTGAACGTTTCCGAATTAAATTTGAATCAAAATCAAATCTCGGATTTGAGTTATCAAATTGTTTATTGTCCGAGATTAAAAACATTGAGGTTGGAAGAGAATTGTTTGCAAATTAACGCGATTAGCCCCAGGTTGTTGAAAGAATCGAAAATTTCTAATTTGAGTTTGGAAGGGAATTTATTTGAAATGAAGCAATTGATGAATATCGATGGTTATGAAGCTTACATGGAAAGGTATACCGCTGTTAAAAAAAAATTATTTTAAAGAAAGATTTTTTTAAAAAAGCCTTGTTATTAAGTTTTTTTTTGTTGTTATTAAGATTATTTATTTTTGTTAGATCTTATTTAGAGTTTCCTTTTAATATATTATGAAATGAGGACAATAAATTGTTTTTAATTGTTCAAAATTTATTCGATTTCAACTTTCAAGGCTGAAACACGACGAGAAATTGACGTTAACTGTTTATTTTTTTATTAAATTCAATTTATAAGATACGATTCAATTATTTATAATGCTAAAGCACACTTAAATAATAATCATTTTTACTATATAATAAGCCAAATACATTCCTATCTTTCCATATCGAAAAATTAAATGAAAAACATTGATCAATTATTATAAAACCTTGTAATTTAAAAAAATCTTTAACCAAAGACTATCTTTATATACAGCTTATTAAAATATAAATATGTATATAAGAAATTGATCATTTTTAATCTATAAATGTCTATTATCGTGTTGTAATTAATTAAAATCGAGTGGTTTAAACCATTTTCTTGGTCAATTCGTATACAAAAATCTATATCTCAACATATTTTTTAATTTTAAGATGAAGTCTGTTGAGGAAAGATTACAATTTGTTTTTTCATCTACTTTACTTACACATATCTTCGTTATTTTTAGAGATATCGGAATATTACATACACCACTAGAAAATCAGATCTTTTTTTTACCCCTCACATCCCTTGCAATGAATGTTTTTCCATCTTTTTGAACATTTGAACCATTTCTTCAGACAATATGTGATTTGGTTAGGAAACCTACACGAAAATAAACATCCATAAACTAAAGCAGGAGAAAGAAAGATTAAAATATCAAGAAAATACAAACAACGAATTTCAAAAACTAGAACAAACGGAGAATAACACTGGAGGAAAGGTGGAGAATTTTTAAAAGGATAATGCGAAATAAAGCTATGGAGGTGTGTGGAATGAGAAAATATAATAAGCATACAAAGAGAACACATTGGTGAAATGAAGAGCTTCGACAGGTAATCAAAAAGAAGAAAGGGTCATGGAAGAAATACATAAGAACGAATTCGAACGAGAGGATAGAGCAAACTATAGAAAGAACAGAGATGTAGCTAAGAATATGATAAAGAAGGGCAAAAAGAAAAGTTGGGGAGAGTTTGGTACAAACTTAAGTGAAACATATGGATCGAATGCCAGATAATTCTGGAATCAAATAAGAAAACTGAAGAGAGATCAAACGAAAAACGAGAAAAAGACAATTACAAGGGAAATTCTGGACATATAGGCGGATTTTTATGCAGATAAGTCCAAGGATAGAAAACGGACACAAACAATGGAGGTGAAAAGAGAAGATGATATAATGGAAGACACAACAGCTGAAGAGATAACAATGCAAGAATCAGGAGAGGCAATGTTGAAGATGAAAACAGACAAGGCTTGTGACAAAGACAAGATAGATCAGGAGATGATAAAATATTTGGGAATAAAAGCAAAGGAGTGGCTTCTAAGTATATACAGGTTTCCCAAAAGTAACGGATAAATTCCATAAATCCATTAAAAACAATTTATGGAAAAATCGCTGAGACGTGTCTAAAGATTTAAATTTTTTTCTTCATTTTTAATCGAATTATGACGTCATAGATGTTTTTTTTTTCAAATACAATATGCAATTTTTTATTACGGAATTCGAAAGAGGACTGTTTTCTGAATTTAGTACAGTCAAAATTAATATTAGTTACATAAGAAAATTTTCGAGAAAAATTGCTTTAAAGTTTCATTATCTCCCATTCACTTGAGATAGAAAAATAGCAGTAGCCATGCGTAACCATAGCAACCAATTGTTGGCTTCCAATTTTCCAAGTGAAAGCAACTGAAAGAATCGAAATTCTAATGATGATAGGTTTCGGAGATAGACAAACTCATCCAAATCGCACACCAAAATCACAATCAACTATAAGCCGAATTGAGACTAAATTTCGCGAACTTGGACATGTAGGTACGAGACGGACGTCCATCGATCTACGAGACTAAGGACGGACGTCCATCGTCCTTAAATGAAAATCAGCAATTGGGTGCTGTGCTAAAAGTACAGGAAAGTCCACATTCAACGATCATGAATGTTGCTACTAATTTGAATTCATCCAAAAACTCAGTGTGAAGATTATTCGAAAAAGAAAAATATCACCCCTATAAAATGCACTTGGTGCAGGAACTTTGCGAGTGCGATTTTGAGAGAGAATAGCGGAATTAACCAATGGAAATCCTGCGTTTGTTAAAAATATTCTCTTGTCTGATGAAGCAACGTTTTGCTTAAATAGTACAGTCAATAAGCAAAACTGGCATTATTGGGCATTTGAAAATCCCCGTTGAAAGGTCGAAGCGAAAACCCAATATCCTCAAAAGGTCAACGTGTGGGCGGGAATAGTTGATAATCAAATTATTGGAACGCTAAATGGTGAACGGTATTTCGACTTTCTTCAGTTAGAAGTAATTCCGACTTTAGCGGCAATATTTCCTAATGCTGAAAATCCTTATTTACCCCACCCAAGAATTTGGTTCCAGCAAGATGGTGCGCCTCCCCGTTATGCGCGATTGGTACGAGAGCTCCTCAACTAAACATTTAGTAATCGGTGGATTGGCAGAGGCGGACATGTTGAATGGCCGGCAAAATCTCCGGACTTAACTCTTTTAGATTATTTCCTTTGGGGCTATTAAAAAGCTAAAGTTTATTTCAATAGACCTGATAACCTTGAGGATCTCAAGGAGGAAATTCGATTAATAACCCCGGAAATGATAATTTTATGATTGGTAGCAAGCTACTCGAACTGTGAAAATTGCAGAGCCATATGGCTATAATCTACAAGTTACAAATTATACACAAAGATAATAGAAACAAGGTTAAGAAGGGTAATGGAAAATAAATTAGAAGATGAACAAGCAGCATACAGAGCAAGTAAACAAACGAACGATAACATACATGTAATCCGAAATATCACTGAAAAGAAAATAGAGACGGGGAATGAACTATACCTAATATTCTTGAACCTAAGTAAGCAGCTTTTGACATGGTGAACCGTAGTATTATATGGAAGTGTCTAGAACAACTAATGGTACCACAAAAACTAACAAAAATAAATGAAAACCTGTACAAGAAAGTCAAGGGCATAGTACAAATGAAGGGAGAAACATCAAACACTTTTGAAATCAGCAAGGGAATAAAAGAAGGCGATAGTCTAACCCCTTGTTATTTGTAATATTAATGAACAGAGTGATAACAAATACAAGAACAAATAAATATCAAACAGTAATAAGTTATAAAAGTTTGGAACCAGTAAAATAGATAATTTAAAAGGCAAGGAAAATATGAACAGAAATATGACTGAAATATGGACAGAAGGAATTGAAAAGATGGGTCTAGAATTGAACGTAAATAAATGTAAAATCGTGATAATAAATAAAAAGGAAATAAGAAATAACCCGAAAGAAATATTTATTAAGGAACAAAAGATAGAAGAAGTATCATCATATGAGTACTTGGGCAGTATATCACAGGATGTAAGGATAGATTTAGACATATATGCAAGAATAAGCAAAACAAACAACGTATAATACACTCTATACAGAACAATTTTTGGGAAGAAGGAGATAGATAAGATAAAGTTAAAACTTGGTGACAGTCCCAATATTAACATATGCCAGTGAATCATGGACACTCCAATATAAACAAGAAGGAAAGATCTCAACAACGGAAATTAAATTTTCGAAAAATAGTGGTGAAGGCGAAGTAGGATAAGCAAAATAGAAAGAAAGCAACTAAACTGGTACGCTCACATAATTAGGATGGAACATAACACAATAGTAAAAAAGGTATTTGAAGCAAAGAATAAGGATAAGAAGAAGTGGGAGGAATGAATAGCAGAAGTTGGGAAGAAGAGAGGGAAGACTCTAGCAGATATAAAGGAATTAGCCAGAAACCGAAGAAGAAGGAGAGGTTAGGAAACTCTCTCCCTCGTTAGTGCATATTATATAGTGTGAATATTAGCGCTTTTTCTTACTTCACTGCCAATTTTATTTTTAACAATTCGGATTTGGCATCCTGTATGTAAGTTTGCTGGGTATTCCCATCAGTTCCATTCCCCCCTCAACTTTATTCCTATTAATGCTGCGAAAACCTTCTTAAAATAAATGAATAGACTACACTCAAAGCATTTCTCTAAAGTTTGCTTTTTTTCTATTTGGTCTATTTGGTATTTCTTCCTCCTTGTTGTTTTTCATCCTTGCTATAGCTTGCCACACTTTCTTCCACCGTTGGGACTTATCATAACTTCCGTCTCCCTTTCATTTACTACTTCTTCTCCTTTTACACACGTGCCAGAATGGCTTAATGTCCTCCAGAAAAAACTCAATCTTCGGAATCGACCCAGGAAAAGAACTGTCAGAACTAACTATTTCTATTTGGCGAGTATTTGCAGCTTTTTTTATTGCCACTTTTCGCATCCAAACCGCCAGCGATCCTTATCATTCCAATCATCTTCATCCTGTCCTCTCCTCTTCATCTCCACATTGATATGCTGGATTCATTTTTTTCTAGGCCTACCTTTTTTGTTTCTTTCTGCTGGCACTCAGTTCCTAATTGCAGCAGAAGAACTGAACACGAATTGGAACAAATAATGAACTTACAAGAGTTCTTACCTATCCATCAATCACACAAAATGTGAATTGCACTTATTTAGGAGTGGAAGTATTAAGTACCAAATAAAACTGCAAGAATATCAGGTTAGTTAAGAGGATTCTTATTTGGAAAAAAAAAGACATGCCAAAAGAAGGAAATGTTCGATTCTACAAGACCGGTTCTAATATACGCGGCGAAAACTGGGACAGAGACTTCCGAAAGAAAGAGTATGATTAGAAATGTAGAAATGAGAACATTGCTATTAATTAGAGGTGTAACGTTACTTGACCAAATTAGGAGTGTTATAACGTGAGGAAAAGAAGATATCCAGGATGTTATTAGATTTGCGAAGAGATTTCCTAGCAGACCACCTAAGAGATGGCATAGTATCATCTCAAAAGACTTAATAATTTATAACAGAACACAAGACTTTTCTTAATTTCTATTTCTATTTAGCGAGTATTTGAAGCTTTTTTATTGCCGCTTCTCGCATCCCAACCGCCCGCGATCTTTATCATTCCAATTATCTTCACCCAGTCTTCTCCTCTTCATCTCCATATTGATATGCTGGATCCATTTTTTTCTAGGCCTACCTTTTTTGTTTCTTTCTACTGGCACCCAGTTCCAAACTTTAAGTGGGATTCTCTCTTTACTCTTTCGACGTAGATGTCCATACCATTTTAGTTGCTTTTCATTTATAGTGTCTATTATTGTGTTTTGTGCCAACTTTCCTTATTACACCTTTATTGTCCTTTTCGTCTTCGTTTATAACTACCCCAAGGTATTCGTAGTGGTGTACATGTTTTATTATGCCGGTCTCCAATTGTATGTCCTTTCCCGTTCCTCCAATTACCATATTATTCTTCTTCTGGTTTATTTAATATATACCTCATATCCTCTTCGCCCACTGCAAAAACTATTTGGTCGTCCAACAGCATGGTGTGTATGTGGCTGTCTCCTATCCATATTCCCATCGGGTTGCATTTCCTTTTCTAATGTTTTAGAGTTGAGTGGATATAGATCTTGACAGATCCCTGACACCTTTTGTAGGAGAGAAAGTTTTCAGAGACCAGTTGTGAGTTTTCTGAAGCGGGGCCATATCGAATGCTTTTCTCAGATCTATATATGCAATATGTATTTCTCTTCCTTTTGACAGCTTCTTTTCAACTAGGTGTCTAAGCGTGGATAAATTATCTACGCAAAATCTTCCAGGTCTGAAACCACTTTGTTCCTATTTTTTTCCTAAATTTTTTATTTCCCTTTCTATCCTAGTTTTCAGAACTCTTCTATATAACTTTTCAAATGATGATATTATACCTTACTTAGTTTACATCATCTTAGTTTACCACTTGAGTCCAAAGAAAGAATGATCTCATACTGACTATTATTATGCTTATTAAGTATTGGTTTTCCTTTCCTGTTTTAACATTTTGAATGATCTAACGAAGATATGTATAAGTAAAATAGGTGGAAAAAATGGGATAAAAGTTTGTTATTGCAAATTGGGAAAAAAAGAGTTGTAATCCAAATAATTTTTGGGAACGCTGGACAATCAAAAAAAAGAAACTCACATTACAAATAAATTATATTGATAAGTCGGTGTATTTTAGCAGATTAGTCGCAGTAACAAAAACTGTCCATTTATACTAAAATGGAGTGCCTATTCTATATTTCTAAACGTGCTACAACTTTCGTACAGATTTTACAAAAAAATACAATTAAATTAACGTTTTCTTAGTTCTGTAATCGCCGTAAGTGTACTTCTATACAAAATATACAGTGGATACAATTTAATTTGACAGTTATCAGTGGTAGCTATCTCGTCAAAATGTACGGACTGTATATTAAAATATATATGTGTAATTTGTGTACATCCTCTTTCCGCACTTTTATTTTAAACACTTTAAAAGAATGAAATCTTGTAATAATAAATTATAATGTACTTCAAATAGAGATGTTTTATTCTTTATTTTGATTAACCCTTTGTGTTCCAACGGTACTTTAAAGTACCGGTAGTTTTAAACAATCATTTTAAACTGTAGTCATCTATTCGGCGCATTTAGAGCAAATGACGGAATCCGCACTGTAGGGTTTTTAGGTATATTTAACTTATTCATCCAGATGTGAGTTAGAAGTTTAGTGAAAAGTGGTGTTGCTGAATTTGTTGTTCAAATGTATTGACTTAGAAAATCTTCCGTGGATAAGTCTGAACAGACACATAGAAGATGACATTGTTATTACTAGTGCTAGTGAGGTACCTATGCTGGAAGATGAAGAAGTAGAACAACTAACTAATCAAAATGAGGAAAGTGACACTGAAGTAGTAAAAATACGTCACAAAAGGCCCAAGAAGAGGAAGGCAGAAATTGATAGAAAATGACGAAAGCGGGAAAAACAGAATGAAATTCCAGGATATGATTATCTAGACTTGCAACTTGCAATAATCCTACAGATTATTTTCTAACACTGCTGAGTAACTATTTGAAAGATATTACCTTTCAAAATAATTTGTACGCCACCCAAAGGAACAAAACGCTAAACTTGAAAGAAGAAGAGTTGGTGTGTTTCCTTGGCATAAATTTCTTAATGAGTTATCACAGTTTGCTAAGCTATAAACCCTTTTGGAGTAATGCTGAAGTGGGTGTACGACTTCTCATATGAACAATGACCCATAACAGGTTTCAGAAGATTTTATCATATTTGCATATCAACGATAACAGCATTATTCCTAAGAACAATACGGATAAATTATACAAAATCCGTCAGTATTTTGAAATTCTTTTTGACTGACCCTGTATACTTAATTTGTCTTTATTGTAATAAATTAAAAAAAAAAACATTAATACTTTTGTATCTTAAGATTTTTTGCTAGCTATCGTACTTTAGGAGATAGCCGACCGTTTCCATACACATCAGCGATCCTGTATATCGGATAATTTGTCACTTTTCTACATCACTACATGTAATCGATTACTAATCATTAATATTAAAGAAAAGCAGCTCCTTAAGTTTTTCTGGGCTAATTCTATTTCTTATTTTTGAAATAATTATTCCAGCTTTAGAGCATAGCCTCTCGCAGGGAACTGAAGTGCCTTGTATGCAAAATTTGTCTTGCACTATTTGTTTAAGGAATGGGAAATTATATGTGTGTTCACGTCCCCATTTGAGTCGATCTTTATGTCTTGGCAATAGATCTTCTTCAAGCTATCTTTCTATTTCGATTATAGCCCTGGAATTAGAAGGGCGGCTTTTATGGTTCAAGGTTGATTTTTTTTCTAATATATCCCACACCGATGTTTCATCTTCTTTATCATCATCATTTCCGTCAAATTGCGCATTTTCCTGCAAGTCGTCGTGCATGATTTGATTTTCCGTTTCTTGTTGACTCTGCAATATTTTTGATTTTCTTCGTGTATGTTAATGTTATTTACCATTTCTACACTTGCACCTTGTATAAATCCACGCAGAAGTTTACGCCAAACGTCGTTTAAACAATTGTTTGTCACTTCGTCCCAAGCAGACTTTAGATTTTTTATTTCTTTTCAAAATGTCGAATATGATCGCCAATAATCTTTAACGGTCTGATTGGAATTAGTATCTATCGCCTTAATCATTCCTTTTAATGTCAAGTGCAAATAATACACTAAAGGTAGAAATTACCCCCTCATCCATGGGTTATAAAACGGAGGTTGTGTTAGGGGGCATGTAAATTACCTTGACGTCCAATTCCGTGTCAAGATTTTTCGGATGTCATGGGGTATTGTCTAACAGGAAGATTGCTTTCTTTGGAAGGTTATTTCGGCCACAAAATTTAAGCGCAGTACGGCAAGAATAATTTTTATACCAGTCTGTGAAAATCTGAGTGACCCAGCCTTTTTTATTGCACCTCCAAAAAACTGGCAGGGAGCTTTTGTCAAGACCTTTAAAAACCCGTGTATTCTGGAAATGGTACACTACCATTGGCTTAAATTTTAAGGAACCAGAAACATTTGATCCCAAGAGAATAGTCAGTCTATCCTTGGCGGATTTAAATCCAGGAGCGCTACGTTCTTCTCGCGAAATAAACGTTCTCGGTGGCAAATTTTTCCAATAGAGCCCTGCTTCGTCAAAGTTGAAGATGAGATCGGCAGGGTAGTTCCCTTGTTCCACAATTTCTTGAAACGTTAGAGGGTCAGCTGCGGCTGCTGCTACATCAGCCCTAGCTGCTTCGCCGCTCAGTTTACCACCCAGTGCTTGCCAAGAAAATTTCGTCAGTGTTTTCTTGCGCCTTCAAATCAGAAAAAATCAACAGTGCTGTTTCGCATATAACTGATTGTGATACAGGCATATTTTTTTGATTGGCATCATCAATCAATGCTAACATTTTTCCCATTTTCTCTATATTTTTGCTCCGGCTGTAAGTTACGTGCTTTAGGCTTACAGCCGTTGTCTGTCGAGCGGAATGTTTATTTTTTCAGCGTTTTTCATGATTGTTATCACAGTGGACGGGGGTAAAGTTAGAGGTCTGAATACAAAAGGTCGGGTTTGGCCATCTTCAATGCGTGTAATTACGTCCATTTTTGTCTCCAGGCTTACTGTTTTTCATGTTTTTTTTTCGCACAATGTTTGGGTTCTGAATCACTATTGTCCCCATAATGAAACTACAAATTGAACATTCTTTTAATTTTAATAATAACTAAAATAAAGAATATAATCAAACGTAATAGAATAAAACAACGTGTAAAAGTGTGTCTGTTATTAGAATCGCGGCGCCTACTGTCGTTCGATGTCGGGCGAACCGGGGAATCCCACGCCGGTACCAACTGGCGTAAATCGAACCGGCGCAAAACGACGTATACCTGTACAGACAGATCTGCATCCAATTGCTATGGTACTTCTAATGGCATTTTCTAATTCGACAAACATATAATAAGTCGAATTGCAGCGGGTGGAAACATCTTGCAACAATTTTAATGGAATTTTTCCGTAATTTTCTTGATAATTTTTTATTTGCAATAATGTTCATTTGCAATATGATATGTTTCCAACTAATTTTACAATACTAAATTTATTGAGTGAGCAAAACATCCAAAATGGTTCCGTTTTAGTTCAGCTGTAATAGTATTTTTAATATTCGATGCATTGTCAAAAACAACTAGTATAACTTTATCTGCTATATTCCAATCTGAAATTATGTTTCTAATTTCAATAACTAAGCATTTATCTGTATGATGTCTTTCCATTATTTTACATTTCTAGTAAAATTGTTGTTAATTCAAAGTTTTCATTTATCATATGCGCTATATAACTTTTGGTGTTTATGGAGGTCCGAAATAATTGGTTGTCAGACATAAGTATCTACAGCTTCTTACCGTTTCTTGGTATTTTAACACTTTCGCAGACAGAACTGCATATGCAGTCAATTGGTCCTTTTACGGATATACTATCGACGTCATAGTGTCCGCGAAAGTGTTAATAAAGACTTACCCAACCCTACCCTCGCCGGTAAATATCCTGTTATAGTTAGTAATCCCTGAGAAGTAGATGGTAAACTTGATAATCGGTAACCGTTGCGCCTCCCTCTTCAAAAAAATATGGACCCCAATCGCCAAAAGATCCAACAGCACACCAAACAGTAACATGTGGGCTGTGAACTGGTCTTTCATGGAGCTGCCGCGGATTTTCTGGTGCCTAGTAGCGAAAATTCTGCTTGTTCACACAGCCAGACAAATGAAAATGAGCTTCGTCACTCGTTATCAAAAGAGCATTTTGTGGGACGTTTTGAAGAATATCGTTGAAACATGCTCTGCGATTTTCCCACTCCCGTTCACTAAGTTCTTGCACAATTATCATTTTGTATGGGTGGACTTCAGATTGCCGTGTAAAATTCTTCTCACAGAACGATCTGACAAACGCAAAGCAGAGGCATGTTTAGCAGCTGAACGGGTAGGAAATCGTTCAAGTGCTTCTCTTACAGCTGCAACATTTTCAGGTGTCCGAGCACTTCGGGGTCTACTAGTTGATTTTCTTTTTAAAGCTGAACCTGTGGCTTTAAAATTTGAAACCCATAACAGTATTGTTTTACGATTTGGAACCGGATCATGTCTACGAAGCATGAAGTGAGTACGAAAAGTTCTTTGCGTCGTAATCACTGATTCGTTTCTTTTCATAAATGTTTCGATAATGAAGACATGATGCTCGCCCGTCCAATTCATGACAACATGATAAATGGCAAAGCGGGAGCTACCAACCAAATACGCTAACGTCCCCCTTTTTTCAGTGATTCGGGCACAGTGGCGTTGCAAAATGTGGGAGATCATTTTGCCGGACCCTGTATTTCTCGTTCAGCGATATACATAGTAGGATGATTACTTGACATATGTATGTTTTCTTAAGTTTGAGTTTTTGATTAGTTTTTTGCAAATATTACAGATTGCGTAGGCTCTATCATCACATTCATCACCAGTGGGTGTAAAATAATCCCAAATCACGCTCAACTTTTGTCTTTTTAACGGCTTCGACATTTTAGTATTTAAAATACACAAAGAAACACAACAAACAACAACTGTACACTTTATACGCAAATTATTCTCGATTTACCACCTGAACAGAACACTAAATAACAAATCGAAATCTGTAACTTTTTAGATAATAGTTCTAGGCAAATCAAATTTGATTTACTTCAACGGCATATAGTTAACTAAAGAAAATTACAAAAACAATGTTACAACTTTTAGTTACTTCTAAGTTACACTTAAAAATGTAAATTAATAACGCAAAACAAAGTGGAAATTACTTTCATAGTATCGATGACAGTCGGGTTTTCTGTGGATTGGTGAGGTTTAATACCGTATATCCTCATACCTACGTGGCATGCTTTGCACTAGTTTGCGAAGAGATTCTTGGGGTATGCTTTCCCATTTCTCAGGGCTTGTGTCAATTCCTGTATGGTTAGTGGTGGATTAGGGCACTTGCGAACGCGTCGGTGAAGCTGATACCACACGTGTTCAATAGGATTCAGGTCAGGACTTAACGCCGGCCATCCCATGACCTGAATTCCACGTTCTTGCAAAAAGTTACTGGTGATGCCGTCAGTATATGGCTTTGCATTGTCCTGCATTAGGATGAAATCTTGACCGACCTCATATGAAGCAGGCACCACATGGTTCTCCAAGATGTTTTCCATGTAATTCATGGCGTTTAGTCTACCAGGAACAACAACAAGATCAGTTCTATTGTCTATACTGATTCCAGCCCAAACCATAACAGATCCCTGACCAAATCTATTCACTTCCCGTATAGTAGCGGCAGCGAAGCGTTGACCAGGACGTCTATATACACTTGTTTGTAAATAGTATGGGCGTCCAGTGACGAAGTTGTCAATCTTTGCGATCTAGAGCAAATCTCATTCGCACTGCTTTGTGATGCTACTTAAGGCGTGGGTCGTGGACAGGTCTTCTAGGTTTCAAATTCGCTTCGTGTAATCTGTTTCTAACAGTTTGATCAGAAATTTCTATTCCATGTATCTTAGGTCGTTTAGGAGGTCTCGAGCTGTGGCAGTACGCATACGTAAAGAGGAAAGGACAAGAAATCAGTCTTGATTTTGAGTAGTTTTTCGATTTGACCTTGTCCAGCTCTTCTAACATATTGGCCAGTCTCCCGAAACCGATCCCATAAACGCTGAATAACAGAAGGGGAAATTCGAAGATCCCTACTAACATGTTGAATAGAGTGGCCATGTTGAATAAGAGCGACAACACGAGTAGCTTGCACTTCACTAAGATGCTTTATGACGCTTCTAATCCACAAAAATTGACAACTGAATTCATTTGTCATCTGTAGTAGGCTTTCATTCGCGAATTCAAAGCATACTTGACATTTTTCCACTTTGTTTTGCGTTATTAATTTACATTTTTAAGTGTAACTTAGAAGTAACTAAGAGTTGTAACATTGTTTTTGTAATTTTCTTTAGTTAAATACATGCCGTTGAAGTAAAGCAAATTTGATTTGTGTAGAACTATTACACTGGACAACAGCCAAAAAGTATCTAAAATAAAATCAACAAAACTTTACTATTTTTGGTGCGCTGATTCCGAAAATAATTTTATTTTTGCAATATCAGTTCACGTTTTAGAGATACGTGATGCTACATGACCCTATATAATAAAAGATAATAATACTGTAACTGGAAAAAATGCACGTGGTATAGTCGTAGATTCCGCGAGAACACATGATGCAATCGGCATGATAGTGTTACGTCAGGTATAAATTATGTTGTTTCAGCTATACTTTCTCAGTTGCCAGCCAGCATTCACGTAAGATGTCTCGAAAGTGTGTAAACAGCCCGGATTACTTCTGTTACGTTTGTGGTGAAGTGACTTTTGCGTCTCAGAAGCGGTCTATTACTCCATTGATAAAAACTGCATATCACCTTTACTTCGGTTGCAAAATAGGGGATCAAGACAAACAGTGGGCTCTCCCCATATCTGCTGTAATTCATGTGCTTCAAGTCTGAGAAACTGGTTAAAGCGTAAAAAACGTTCTATGCGCTTTGCTGTCCCAATGGTCTGGAGAGAGCCTACAAATCATGTTAACGATTGCTATTTTTGCATGACACCTCATGTTGGGCAAGGCACAGGTATATCCAAGAAAAAAAAGTCGGTTATTAACTATCCAAATATACCATCTGCCATAAGACCTGTACCCCATAGTGACGAACTTCCTATTCCAGAACCCCCAGAAAGATACGGTTGCGAATCAGATAACAGCGATACAGAGATTAGTCAAGAAGATATGCCTACAACATCAAAAGACCCTGATTTTACATCGAGCACATCACACCGTCAACCGCATAAAATTACTCAGTCTGAATTAAATGATCTTGTGAGGGATCTAGAACTTCCAAAAACTAAAGCAGAGTTGCTAGGATCAAGATTGCAGCAGTAGAACCTATTAGAAGACGATGTCTCTGTATGTGTTTTTCGCAAACGCCATAAAAACCTAGCACCATTTTTTGACATGGAGAATAACTTGGTTTTCTGCAATGACATAAACGCCTTACTAGCGGCTTTAAATATAAACCACAAGCCAAAGGAATGGAGATTGTTTATAGACAGTTCAACATTGAGTTTAAAGGCAGTACTATTGCATATTGGAAATATTCTACCTTCTATTCCTATTGGATATGCAGTTCACATGAAAGAGTCATACGACAACATGAAATACTTACTGACATGCATAAAATACGATGAGCACCAATGGCAAATCTGTGGCGACTTAAAGGTTGTTGCACTTTTACTCGGTTTGCAACTAGGCTACACTAAGTTTTGCTGCTTTTTGTGTGAATGGGACAGTCGGGCAAAGGCACTACATTACAAGAGACAAGACTGGCCCGTTCGACAATCACTAGGGCCAGGCCAAAAGAATGTACAGCATGTGCCATTGGTAGACTCTAAAAAGATTTTGTTGCCACCACTGCATATTAAATTGGGCCTAATGAAAAATTTTGTCAAGGCACTAAATAGAGATGGACCAGCTTTTCAATACCTGCGTCAGAAATTCCCAAGGCTAAGTGAATCAAAAGTGAAAGAAGGTATTTTTGTTGGGCCACAGATTCGAAACATTTTGAAGGACGAACAATTTGACAACACCCTAACAGATATTGAAAAAAATGCTTGGAATGACTTTCGCTTGGTGGTCACCAATTTCTTGGGAAACCAAAAAGCTGACAATTACGTTACTCTTGTTAAGAATATGCTGTTATCGTATCAAAAAAAATGGGTTGTAATATGTCTCTAAAGATGCACTTCCTACATTCACACTTGGACTTTTTTCCTGAAAACTGCGGAGCTGTAAGTGATGAACACGGCGAACGTTTTCATCAGGATATATCATATATGGAAAAAAGGTACCAGGGAAAGTGGAATCCTTCCATGCTTGCAGACTACCAGAAACAATCTACAAAAGAGTAGCAAAAAGACAGCGCTATAACTAAAGTCTAAAAGTGCAAAAATAGTGTAAAAATACCTATTTCTTTTTTTAGTTTGTTAAAAATAAAATAAAAATGTGTTCTTAAAAACTGCAACTAAGTTTTAAATTTCATTGTCATATTTGTATGTCATAGTTGTGTTATTTAAAAAGTTACAGATTTCGAAAAAAGTGTTCCCCTAATTTGTTTGAGCAGGGTATATAAATATATAATAATATAATAAATATACATACAGTATATATAAATGTATCTCTGTATGGGTGGGAAACAGAGATATTTAGTTTTTAATACATAATGTATAATACAAGTAGTGTATTTTTGTTTGCTGGTCGAATAGTTGGATTATTCATTTGTTAATTTATTATTTCTCTTGTTAGGTATGTGTGTAGCTGTATTTTTAAGAGGATATGATTTTACAAAATTAATGACCTTAGAAAAACCTTTTTTTTCCTAGTTTAAACGTAAAACACATCTAGAAAAATTTGAATCAACAAAGTTTGAGTTATTTTAGATTATTCTTTGTATTTTAATTCTTATTGTGTAATTTAAAACCACTGCCGCAAGAATTACTGACTGAAACTTCCAAAAACTTAAATTTTCAAAGAGTAAAGTATCCTTTATAGAGTTGTTCTAGTGAAAATAATAGCTGTTCCAGATTGCTTTAGGTATAATAAGTATATATTTGTAATATGAAATTGAAAATAGAAAAACTATGGTCACAGTAATCAACTAGACATTTTGGCAGCCAAACCTATTTTTAGTTATAACTTCGTAATGATGTATCCCAGAATTTTGATTTTCTCGAACAATAACTAGAACAACTAAAACAACCCAGAACAGCAAAGAAAATCAGATTTTTCAAAAATGTGAGGGGTTAGTCAAAAAACCGTTTTTCGGTTTTTCTCGCAGAGTTTTTATTTTTGGGGGGGCTAATTTCCCGCACTCTAACTGCTCATCAATATATCGCTCATCTCTACTCTCAAGTACCATTATCCCCCTGGGGATTGTCATATTTTGCTAAAATTGATTCCAAAGGGGTTTACTGAGTATATTTTGATAGCGTGTTAATTTTATTAGTTTCAAAATTTTTGACATCTTTTTGACAGTCATTTATGTCCCACAACTGGTTCAATTTTTATGTTGGCATTTTGAAATTAATGTCAATTTTACCTGTCAAAATCAATTTTGATACAAAAATAATAAATTTTTGTATTTTTTTCATTTTTAATTAAAACCACGTATTTATTTCGAGTAAATAAATACAAATAATATTATGTAAGGTGTGTCTCTTATTTAAAATTATTACCCGATAGCGTTATTTACCCACAAACAACGTACTACGCATTTAAAATATAAACTCCGCCGACCTCGCTTTTACGTTGAGTAAGGCGAAAACTGCTATAAATATCTTATTTTAGTGGTCGTACAATCACCGCAGCGTTATTCTCGGTTTATTTTCCTCCGAAACCGAACAAGGTTAGTCTTTTCTAGAACCTTACTAATCCATTCATTTCACTTTCTTTCTCTTCAACATGTCTTATTCATTTCAATACAAACAAACCAAAGACATAAAACAAATCCAAATTTAATTGTACGCAATTTTTAATGTAAATTAATTATTTAAATGGTCTAATTTAATTTATAATTAATATTTTTTGATTTTTAAATTAAATTAAAGTTAAATTTCGTTTTAAATCGGTACTTTTTAATTTTGAGGTTATGTTGTTATGTCAATGGAAAACCGCGTGCGTTTTTAGTAAAAGATTAACCTCACGTCTACCAACCAAGCGATTGACGTGAAGACAACTTGCCGCTGAAGGCATTGTTTATGGCAGACCGCTGTCTGTGTATTACGCAAAAAGTGAATCCATCGAAAATAAGCAGAAAACGATCGCCCTTTTCACCAAGCGAACAGGTAAGGATGCCCCACGATCCAACAAATTTATGTTATTCCTTCAAAATTAACACGTTTTCGGAGGCACGTTTAAAATTTTTTTTTGCTTTTAACCAGATGGCAAAATTTCAATGTGTTGTTTATGTTTACCTTTTTCGCCACCACGATGCTTTTAATAAACACATTATTACTTAACCTTTTATTTATTTTAAATAATCCTTTATTCTCGTTTTATAGTTTTCTTTTTACGTTTGAATTAAAAAAATAATGGCAACTGAAGGACTCGACGCTGAAATCGAAAAACAACTTGAACCTGCCGATAAAACCGAATTAGAAGGAGCTTCTTCTGTACCTGCACCACTCCTCCATAAGAAAAAGCACAAGAAAATAAGTCGCCAAAGTAGTCGCGAAAACGTTGTAACAACAAGTTTTTTTCAAAGTCCGCGTAGTTGGAAAAATAGTCGCCGTTCAAGGAATGGTTACGGACGTGGGCTCCCTAAAAAAGGGGGTGCCGGTGGAAAAGGAGTTTGGGGAGCACCCGGTTCGGAGCTTTTAGAAGCGTATGAAGATGTTAACGATCCAAATTATGACAGCGAAAATTTAAGCAACGGCGATATCGAATTAAAAATGGTTGTTCCCCAAGTTTCTGATGAGGAAATTCGCAAAAAGGTTGGACCTATAATTTTGGAATACTTTGAAAATGGGGATACTCACGAAGCCGCCGTTTCCGTGGAAGATTGTATCCCGTACAATCGTCGAGATCTTTTCGTTCAATTCCTAATTGAAATCGCAATGGATCATAAACCGTCTCATCGCGAGATGACTTCCGTTTTAATTTCGGATCTCTTTGGCCATGTAATTGTTGAATCCGATATCACGAAAGCTTTCGAAAATTTATTGGCTAACGTTAACGATTTAATACTTGATATTCCCGATGCTCCAACAGTTATTGGTAATTTTATAGCACGAGCTATTGCCGACGATTGTATTCCCCCAAAATTTTTAATTACAATGAAAGAAAAAAGCGAAAATGAAGTTTTTGTAGAAACTTTAGCAAGAGCTGATACTTTGTTGTCAATGAAACACGGTTTGGTCAGATTACATAATGTTTGGGGTGTTGGTGGAGCCTTAAGACCAGTTAAATATTTAACTCGACAGATGTCGTTGTTGTTACAGGAGTATATATCGTCGAGAGATATCGAAGAAGCAAGTCGTTGTTTAAGGGCTTTGGAAGTACCTCATTTTCACCACGAATTAGTTTACGAAGCCGTCGTTATGGCTTTAGAAGCTAATAATATTGATAAAGAAGAAGCTTTATGTAGATTATTAAAAGCTTTTGATGCAGCTGTTTTGTTAACAACTGATCAAATGGAACGCGGTTTCTTTAGAGTTTTTGATGATTTATCCGATATTTCAATGGATGTACCTTTGGCTTATATCATATTGGATCGATTTGTTGATCGTTGCTACAAAGAAGGATTTTTAACTGAAAATGTTACTAAAAAGTTGCCTCCAAGGGGACGTAAACGTTACGTTTCCGAAGGTGATCAGCATTTCATTAAGAGCAACAGGCTCTTTTAGTTATTACTTTTTTTGAGGCAAAAAAAAATTAAAAACACAAAAAAATGATTAAAAAAATCATCTTCCGCATATTGGCCATATTAATTTTTTTTTCTCAATATTTTTTTCTTTTGCGTTTATTCATTTAGAATTTTTCGAAGATATTCTACGAGCACTAGGTGCGCTATATAAGTGTTACTTCATTTTGTATTTGTTCCATGATGAATAAAGATTATTTATAGTTGAATTGTTTTATATATTTATAAACCATTTCTTATTTCTACTCTTAAAAACGACCTGGTTTTGAGTCGAGTTCTTGATCGTTACATAATATTTTGTTTGAAATGGTATAAATTTAGAATAAGAAACCTCACTATTCTGTATGAATATTACTTATTATATTTACAAGGGATTGCATTTTGCTATAAAATCAACATTTTTTTTCTTTCCATGTATTCTTCCGTTACTATAAGGGATCGACTTTGGCGTATTTAGAAAAATTTTACAAATTTTCCTATCACCAATATAGAATGACTTGGGGCAAAACTACCCCAGTATGCATAGTATCTATTAAAAAGAACCATTTTCCCGTCTTTCACAAAACTAAAAAGAATTACTCTGTAGTTACAGTTTTGTGTACTGGAGAGATTTTTTCATATTTCAAAGATAAATGTTAGTGAAGTAGTGTAGTTCCGTAATGTGTTACTGATTTTTATAATAAAAAATTTATTTTACGTTTTAGCATTACTGGAGGTAAGTTATTAGGTACTTTTTTCTTTGGACAATTAGTAAAATTTATGTTATTTTTAGTACCAGTAAAATATGACGAGAAAAGATCTAAATGAAGCTGAACTGTTGGTCTTCTGGAACACGATTATTAAGAGATTGATTTTAGTGTATTTAGAAAAATTTTACAAATTTTTCTATCAGCAATATACATATAAGGTCTTGGGGTAAACAGACCCCGGTATGCATAGCATGTATTAAAAAGAATAATTAGTGCCATCTTCCCGTCGTTTACAAAACTAAAAAGAATTACTCTGTAGTTGCAGCTTCGTGTACTGGAGAGATTTATCAGTTGGGGAATCACCGAATTACGATTTCTGTTGTACACACACGAGTCTTTCACATATTGCAAAGATAAATGTTTGTGAAGTAGTGTAGTTCCGTAATGAATTAGTGATTTTCATAATAAAAAAGTTATTTTTCGTTTTAGAATTACTGGAGGTAAGTTATTAGGTACTTTTTTCTTTGGATAGTTAGTACATACTGGCGGTAATTGATGGATTTACAACATACCGTATTTTCTCGAATCTAATCCGCACCCTTTTTACAAATTTTATATGCTCTGAAATCAAATGCGGATTACAATCGGATGTGGATTACACTGATAAACCAACTTTTTTTACCACCATTGCATTTTTAAAATCGAGGTGCGGATTAGATTCGAGTGCGGATAAGATTCGAGAAAATACGGTATTTGAGATTATATCCTTGTCGGAGAACGGATACCAAAGAAGTAATTAAACATTTACAAATTTATTTACAAACTACGAGCGAGATTTAAACTTAATACGAGAAAAAGCTTAATATTAAGCTAGCAAGACCACTTTAAAAAAAAAACTTAAAAAATAAAACAAAGGTGGATTCAAGAAGATCTGAATTTGTACTAATTTGTACCACAGATAAAAAATGTGTACTATATGCAGTTAATAAAAAGCGGGGACAGAAAAGACTAGAAATAAAACAAATGCACTGCGTGAAAAAATAGTATTTATAAAAGAATCTTTATTGTAACAATGTAAAACAATGTACACCGTGTATATTAATACAATGACAAAACCTTTACATGTCATTTATAATAACAATCAACAAGAAATAATAGTGATTGCGTTACTAACGGTGTAACTGCCGCTTTCAATTTTCACTGCATTTAAAGAAATATTATTACCATTTTTTAAAATTGGTAATTTTGCAGCCTTTTTTGCTGCAAGAGCGTCTATTATCTTATGTGGATTTTTTCCAAGGTATAAATTCTTATTTTTATTTTGTTTTATCTGCCCACGCCAATTTTCTTGTTGGCGGCTTCCGATTATGACTTTCGCATTTTGCACATTATACATATACAACATTGATCATAGCCATCTTCAAAATTGTCATACGGTGTGAAGCATTGAGGTAATGCATGGACAGATTTCTTACAGATTTGACAAAGGTGTGTACCGGACGGTTTATTATTATTTTTGCATGCAGGACATGAATTATTCAGATCTGATGTTAAACTGACGTTGGAATCTTCCGAATCTGCAGGCGATATATACAGTGTGTCCCAGGATAGACGTTACAAGAGGTATAATGACTTAAAAAATTTTGAATTTTATTTTAATGCTGAAGAATTAAGCCCTGCTTGGTGTGGAGAGAATTGTAAGTATACAGTAATACCCCGTAGTTATGCGATAGGTGTATATCGCATAACGTATAGCGATAGGTAAATTCGATGAATACATATTATAAAATCAAGGATTAATAAACATTAATTTTGTTAAAAAATTGTATGTACAGAGTGGTTCAAATTCGATGTCCGAATGGGCTATCTCGGAAACTGTAAGAGTTAGAAAAAAAGCAGCTAACATGTCTAGATCTCTTTTTTTAAATAAATTCCAATGTCGAAAACCTAAAAGCGCTATCGTTAAAAAAACCGCGTAAGTACGGGGACGCGTAAGACGGGGTCGCGTAAGTCGAGGTTTTACTGTATTTTCATATTTTGAAAATCAACTCGGTCTTGATAGTGAAGCGAAAACTATTTTTAGTTCAGGTAAAGTAAGCTTTTTGTTCCTGATACGGCAAAATATCATTAAGAAAAGTTGTTCAGAATGAGAAATTGTGGCATTATGCAAAATTTCAGAAAGATCTACCTACATTGATTAAACCACTATATTTTAGATAAGAATTTTTTTTGCTGATAGAAAGACAGGCAATTAGTCATTAACAGTTAATAATTTACTTCCAACACGATGGATGCTCTGCACATTCTACAGTACGTGTAGCTGAATGGTTAAATTTAATATTTCGAGAAAAGATTATATCTAGAAATGGTCCAATTGCGTGGCCTCGAAGGTCTCCCGACCTTACAATATTAGATTTCTTTCATGGGGTCCCCTTAAACAACTAGTTTTCGCTCAACCAATACCGAACAATGGAAAAATATTGAAAGAACGGATAACAAATGCTATACGACAAATACGCACCGAAAAAATTCAGAATAGCTTTAGAGAATTTAGGCATCGTATAGAAAAGTGTGTAACAAAAGGTGGATGTTATGTTGAATAAACTAATACAGTTAAGTTTACGTTCGATTTTTTATAAATAAAATAAAATTATACAATATTTATGTTATTTAAACTAAAATGTGATGGTTCAACCAAAGTAGATAGATCTCTCTGAAATTTTGCATAGGAACATAATTTCACATTTTGAACAACTTTTCTTAATAAAATTTTTCAGTATCATGAACAAAAAGGTTACTTTACCTGAACTAAAAATAGTTTTCTCTTCACTATCAAGGCCGAGTTGATTTTCAGAATATGAAAATATACTTAAAATTCTCTCCGCACCAAGCAGGGCTTAATTCCTCAGCCTTAAGATAAAATTCAAAAATTTTTAAGTCATTATATCTCTTGTAACATCTATTCTGGGACACACTGTATTGTTAGTATTGCTTTCCGCGTCGACAATTTTCAGTGCACCACGTAAATATTGTACGTGTTTCTGTATAAAAGCATCAATGCGTAGTAATGAACAATTTTTTAGTAATAATGTTTTTAATTTATTAAACTCACTTTCCACTGGTGCACTTGAAGCTGGTAGGTCTTAGCATTAAACTACCGCTCCCACATTTTATTAATGGCATATAGTACACATTTTTTATCGTTGGTACAAATTAGTCCATATTCAGATCTTCAATTAGTACAAAATAAGTACTAAATAATCCAATAGGTCTCAATCGGTTCTGCCATTATGGCCCTGCCAGCTTAAGAGAGGTCAGAAAATATTAAAAGAAGTCAGGCTTATAATAAATATTATTATGATAAACGCCATAAGGAGCCTCATAAGTATCAAGTTGGAGATAATGTTATGATAACAAATACCGATGTAACACAGGAATTAATAAGAAGCTTTTACCAAAATATAAAGGACCGTATGAAATTAAAAAAGTGTTAGAAAATGATCAACATAACGATCATTTTACATAATAAAAAGAATAAAATGTGAAAAACATAAGTGTCGATGTGTTTTGTATTTAGAAGAATAGAATAATTAAGAAGTTAAAGGAGTATTTTATTGTGCCGAGGTGTCCTGAAACAAAAGGGAATTAAGAATATCCCCACAATAATTAAAAAATAACAAAAATATTGTAAAAAATAAAAAACGTTAATAACAACTACATTGTTATAACTTATAACCTTACTATTCTGTATGAATATTACTTAATCGTATATTTAAAGAATTTGGATAAATTAGGTTTATTTATTTTATAAATTTTATTGATATTATAATACTCATAATGCTTTATTTCCACACATAAAAATAAGTTCAGGAGAATGTAATAATTAATATATTCCTTATTAATTTTCGTAAAACAACCCGGTATTTTTAATCTTCAAATTTATCCATTGATCTAATTTCGAAATCATTTCCGGGCTTAATTCCTCCTTATAGCTATCAATAGAACCTTTTCTTATAAACGGACACTCTTTATTTTTAATAATTGCTTCCATATTAACCGCAACGTTTAGTTTCATTTGGTCAAAACTTAAATGCTTAGATAATGTCTCGTACTCCTCCTCGGTATAAGTTTTATCCAAAAACTTTGAAACCTTTTTTATTACACCCAACAAATTAGAATGCATTTCTTCGTAAGTTATGATTAATAAATTCGAACGGTGCTTTTCGTTCCAATAACTTAAAACGGTTCGGAAATAATCTCCGTACAGAACTAGAAATAAAAATTCTTTTTAAATATTCAAAGTGATAATAATAACACCAACTTTGTTCATTAATAAAACAATCGACGAATTCGTTTAAAGACCCAACAAAAAATGGAAAAACTTTCGTTGCGTGATGAAAATACGATGGAACAACTTGTTTCGGATTCCTTATTACGTGAATAATTTTAGGCGTTTTCGTGCCGTTTTTAATTTGCGTTGGAAGAAAATCAAATGGTAAGTGAGATTTTATAAATCTTCCTCCTTCCGATTCAGAAATAATTTTTAAGTAATCCGGTGACGTTACCGAGAAATCGGTTGGAATTTTATGTTTTTCGATAAATTTTGTTGTCTCGTTTCTAAACGCCCCAAAACTGAAACAAATAAGTAATTTAATTAATGTATAAACTTAAACTAGGATGTTAATGATAAAAATTTACTCGATAAACGAATATCTTCTCTGCAGCATAACTTGAGCTTTCTCGTAATCTAAATTATTTTTAAGTAACCAAACCATTTCTTGAGTCCAAGTACAACCTTTAAAAAGTAAATAAAATAATTGTTTAAGAAAAGTATTAATATTCTACCTGATTTTGGAAACGCTGTAACCCAAACATCTTCATTTCGTGTCTCTAAACTTTCAAGTTCTCGCTTTAAGGAAAGAAAGTCCTCAGTTAAAGCAACCCCATCAATATTTATTAAATTTAACGTAGACATTTCTTGTGTTCAATTAAATATTTATTTCGAAGAATATGTTCTTTAATTAGTTGTTTTTGAGGCATGTTTGTCGTTTATACAATGGGTTTATCTCAGTGTTATTATTAATCAACAACCTTTACAATATCCAGTCATGATTTCGTTATTTTTGTATTATTATTATCATTTATTCATTACCGATATCAACACGGTTTCAATTTACCGGTTACTTTCCGCTACTTTATACAATTTGTTTTCAAAGAGAGATAATGAAAATGACACTAAAATGATATTTTTTTTGATAGTTCTTAGCCATGGTGAAATACAATCATTTTAATTTATCTGATTCTGATAAAGAGAGCTTTCTTCATCAAAGGGTTATAATAGCTATTAGAAAGATCTTTAGTGGAAAAAAGAATGTAATATATGATAAAGCGATGTTCAATAATGATGTTAATCAAATGGATAATGAGACATTTGATGAATATCTTGTACGATTGCAGTCTTTGGTTGAATCGAGATAGAATTCTCTTGGGAATGAGAAATAGAGAAATGTTAAAAAAGCTGATGTTGAAGCCGGATTTGACTTTGCAACAAGCTATTGACATCTGTAAAGTAGATAAATCAACTGCACAAAAAATAAAAAATCTGAAATCTGATCAGAATAGTTCAGGAAATAAGATAATAAATAAAAGTAAAGAAAAAACTTGCTTGTTTTGTGGAAAGAAGCACGAATTTGAGAAAGGAGTTTACACTGCGTATGGCAAAACCTGTAAAGAATGTGGTGGAAGAAACCATTTTGCAATAGTTTGCAAGAAAAAGAAGGAAAATCAGAAAGATAAAGAAAAGAAGAAATTTGGTAAAAAAACAGTGGAAGATATAAAATAGGGATTAGAAGAGAACTGTAGCAGCAGTGTAGAAAAATTATTGATGATACATCAAAAGGAGGAAATGTTAATGCGGAATTAATTTTTTTATTAAATGGTAAACTAAAGAAAATTATTTGCGAGTTATATACTGGTGCTAATGTATGATTGATTAGTAGGAATAGATTTTCGAGCATATTAGGAGTGGCAGATGTGAATCTTGATCAATCAAAACATAAATTGTATGAATTTGGAAAGATTGAAATACCAGTAATAGGTGAAAAAGTTGTATTTTGTCAAAATAATGGAAAACGATACCCTATGAAATTTCAAGTAGGTAATGTTGATCATGATCCTCTGTTCTCAGCTAGTGTTTGTCTAAAACTTGAACTTGTAATGCTATATACATAAATAAAGAATATTAAAAATCTGGAACAAAATGTCTGTTCAATAATTGAGAAATACTGATATGTTTTTAAAGGATATGGTTGTTTAAGAGAACCAATTGATCTTGAGATTGATCAGAATATGAAACCGATAATCCAAAAGGCTAGACGAATACATCTACGTGAAAAATTAAAAAATTAATTGGATCATCTAGTGAAAGAGAAAATAATTGAGAAAATAGAAAAACATACAGATTGGGTGAGTAATTTTTTACTTCTAGCAAGAAATGGAAAGCTACGAATATGCTTATATCCTATTCCTTTAAACAAGGCTCTAAAAAGGCCAAACACCCATTTCACTACTATAGACGAAATTTTTCCACAGCTAGGAAATGCGAAAGTTTTTAGTTGTAGATGCAAAATAAGGTTTTTGCCAGATAGTTCTATCGAAGCGAAGAAGTGAACTAACCACATTTTAGACGCCCTTCGGAAGTTTTAAATGGTTGAGAATGCCATTGGGCATTGCACTAGCACCAGCGATTTTTCAAAAATTATGTACCAGATACTAAATGGTCTTGACAGATAAAGAATTAAAACCAGACGAAAGCAAGATCCTTCCTATAAAGAATTTTTCAGAACCTTGAAATAAATTACATCGTTTCTTAGGTATGATTACTTATCTGACTAGGTATATTCAAAATTTAAGCAGTGCAGTTAATCATTCTTTCTTAATATACAAAGAAAGGAATTCGAAAACATAAACAAATTATTAATGAACGCCTTCATTAAAATACTTTGAAAAACGTAAACCTTTGATTATTGAGTGTGATGTCAGTAACTATGGTCTTGGGGCTGCTGTGTATTATACGATAAAGTGCGCCAATAGAAAAGGAAATGCTCGCTATTGTTTTTGCTCTAGCCTCTATTAAATGTCCCGAAACGTTTACAAAAAATGCTCATGACGTTACAAAGATACAACTGGAATTTGAAATTTGTAGCTGAGAAAAGAATATCACAGTAAATACATTATCTCGTGCATTAAATATAATTGCAATACAATCGTCAAAGAGGCAAGATAACCTTTTCACATTATCTACTGTCTTTAAAACATCAGAAGTAAATGTGTGTAAGTCTTTGGAAAGCATCGATTTGGCTAATCAAGTTAGCGTATCTGAAGATCGCTTAGAAGGGATTAGAAAGGAAACAGCTAACGATACAGCCTTACAAAAAGTAAAACAATACGTAATGTCGGGATGGCCAAATACATACAGATGAGAAAAAAAAGTACAACAACTACAAATACGATCTTACATATCAAAACGGTTCAATCTTTAAGGGTAATCAAATTGTTATACCATTTAGTTTAAGACGAAAAATAATAAATATTCTTCACACAAGTCATAGCGGAATAAACTCAACGATAAACACAGCCAGAAGAAATGTGTTTTGGCCTGGCATGCCAGGAGAAACTCGTAAAAAAGAAAAGAATGTTGGATGCATTATCATCTCAAACAGAACCGCCAATGCAATCTCAGAGCATTTCAACATATATCTTTAGACGTACTTACTACCGGATTTAAGAAAAAGAAGAGATATTTTCTAGTTACAGTGGATCATTATTTCGATTATTTCGAACTGGACATCTTAAAAAATGTATCAGCTGATGTAATGATTAATACCTGTAAAAAGAACTGCAGTATACCATACCGGAATGTTTATACAGCAATAATGCAAAGAATTTTGTTAACAAAGATTTAAAAAATTTTGCAAAACATTGGAATATTCAGCACAAGCGGAAGCCACAGTAAAAATTGCAAAAAAGCTTATACGAAAATCTGACGAGAATACTGAAGATTTATGGCTTTGCTTTTCTTCACCACAGAAATATGCCAAATAAAATTGGATCTAGCCGTGTACAAAGAATATTCTCTAGACAAACCAGAGCTCATCAGATAATAAAGAACAAAACATAAAGCATTATTAATAATAATAATAATAACTTTATTTAAACAAAGTACAGCATGGTACAGTATTGACGTCAAAAGAAAAGAAAACAATTAATAATGTTCACATAAAGGAAATGCCAACTACAAATAATAAAATATAACAATTTCCGATGATTCATTTCTCGGTCATCCATTCAAAGTATTCTTGCACAGTATAGTATTCATTTTCCAAGAGGAAATTCTTGACAGTGATTCGAAACTGTTTTACTTCCATGCTTCTTCTTTCCAATGGTAGTGCGTTATATAATTTGACGGCTATATAATCGTATGTGTTTTGTGATTTGACCACTCGGTGATATGGAGTCACAATATTTTCTTTGTATCGGGTGTTGTGTTCGTGATTGTCTACGTGTTTCAGCGTCAAATCTTTATTATTATGAGTATACTCCAGACAGGAGCGTATAACAGCACGGCAAGGTAAGTATTTTTAATTTTTTAAATTGGCTTCTACAACTCTCTTGATTTTTTAGTCCAGCCAGTATCCGAACTGCCTTCTTTTGTATAACGAAAATGGCTTCCATCTCTCTAGATGCACCCCACGTAATGATCCCATACGTCGCGATAGCATGGAAATATGCGAAGTATACGCTTCGGAATGTCGCGGGTGGAAGGTTTGAACGTATTGTTTTAAGGCAATACAGAGCACTAGACAGTCGCCCTTTCAGGTTTGATATGTGTTTGGACCATTTAAGAGTTTCTGAAATAGTAACTCCAAGGAACTTTATGGATTTATCTATCACTCCATCGCATCGTCTTGTGTGAAAGGTAAGTATGTTTGTTTTTTCATTATTCATCTTTAACTTATTTGTGTAGAACCAATGCTCAGCTTTTTCTGTATTTTGTTTTGTTTTTTCTTCCAGCTCCTTGATGTCACCACTTCTCGTAATAAAAGATGTGTCATCTGTATAAAGACAAATTCGTTCTGCTGGAACACTACCTGGCAAGTCATTGATGTATATAAGGAAAAGTAATGGACCCAAGATCGAACCCTGAGGCACTCCACTTCTCACTTCTCTCCAGGTGGAGATTATGATAAAGCATGCAAATCCTTGCCTAATTTACGAATTGGACAGCCAATCTCTGCTCAGATAAGTTCGGAAAGTAGCAAAGCTTGGTTACCTAGATATATTAAAGAAAAATTGACTGATCGTTCATACGTTGTTGAAGTGAATGGCAATAGAGAGAATAGCAGGACACGGGTTTTCCCGGGGCAGCCGGAATTGTCATCATTTTTAGTGCGGAAATCGAGAGTAACCAGTGAAGTTATGCCAGCTTCTACTGAGAGGAATGGAATAGAGAATAAACCGGAGAGAACTCCAACATCTGAATATTTCCCACAAAATTCATCTGCAACACGTGCATATGAATGATTCGAAAAATATCGTTCAATGAAAAGCCGTTGTTCATGGGAAAATGGCATCTTTGCAAACCACAATACTACCGATGTGAAATGACAAATTTCTGTATTAATGTCATATAGATCTGTTGTCGGCAATACCTGTAATGCTATCACGCGGTAGGTAATAGAAATATTTCATCGAAAGTACTATTAAACAAAAATTTATTTTGATGTGCGCGACTTTTCGATCTCTCTCTATGTTTTTATGGATCTAAAAGTAGAACTAACACTAAACCTAGAACTAGAATCATTCGGGTTTAGCCGTCTTAAGAGCCGCATCATCATCATCGTTGGCACCACAACCCCTGGTGGGTCTTGGCCTGTTAGGATCAGCTTCCACTCTCTTCTATTTCATACCTTGGCCTTCCAAATTCTAACTCCCAGCATTTTTAGTCATTCTTCCACCTGGTCCTTATATCTGCTTCTAGGCCTGCATCTTTTGCGGGTTCCAAAAACTGTTTGGCGGAACATTTGCTTTCGGGGTTCCCTGTCATCCATTCTTTCTAGATGGCCGATTCATTTTAACCTATTGATTTTGATGGATTGTACAACATTCGGTTCTTCACAGAGTCGGTATAAGTCAAAATTGCAACACCTTCTTCATATTCCGTATCTTTCTTTCAACGCAGCTCAATAAGATTTCGTCATTTTTTGTACTCGTCCATGTTTCTAACGCATATCTGACGCCTGACGTTAATATTTTTCTCAGTCTAAATTAAGCTCAATTGGCTGCGAGGGCAAATAAGGTTATGGGAGAGGTTTGGGGATGGGGTGAGAGGATTTTTGGGAAAGATGTGGAAAAAAGGAAATTAATGTTTGAAAGCTTGATAAAAAGCGTAATGATGTATGGGGTGGAAATATGGAGATGGAAGGAGCAAGGGCTCTTAGAGGATGTGCTGAGCAGGTATTGGAGATGGGTGTTGGGGTTGGGTAGGGAAACCCCGGGATATATAGTCAGGGAAGAAATGAAAGTAGATAAGGTGAGGGTGGAGTACTACAGAGAGATTGAGGCAGGAAAAAGTCGTTAAAGGCAGCGAGAAAGGGAGGCACACTACAGAAGGGTGGGGTATTCAACTGATGTGAAGGGGATAAAGGAAAGCAGGTACAATCCAAAATATAATGAAATTATAGTAGAAGGGCTACCAAAGTACCTGATCACAGAGGGGAAGAGGTTGGTAGCCAGGTTTAGGCACAGAATAGTAAGTTATTTTGTGATATTGTTCGAGGTTATAATAATATAATAATAAATAATAAACAAATGTTATGTGTTGTCCTAAAAAGTAACTTATTGTAATAAAGTTTTATAGCTGTTTAGAATGGTTTATACAGTGAATAAAGAATAAACAACACGTTGAAACAATTATTTAATATAAAAGAAGAAAAGAAAAGTATTTATAAACATTAAACCCTTCGTTATCATGTAAACGCCGATTTCATTTGATGTTTAAGGTAAAAATAAACTGTTTTTAGGTACAGAAGCAAATATTCCTTTCAAATAACCATTAATTAATCCTTGAAAAAGATCGATGACAGCTGGTTGAAGAATAGATGAAAATTCTCTCCAATTTTCATTGATTAAGTTGTTTGTAGCGTCTCCTAATCTTTGATCTCCATTAAATAAATTATCAAAATGAAACTGAAGTTGCCCAACAGTAGCATTAAATTTTGATTTATCAATGTTGAAGTGATCGCCGTCATCTTCTTGAATAGTTTTTAAAGCGGCTTCATAAAACATATCGATTTTAGAGACGTTTGCTTTAGCTTCACCGTTTCCAGTAATCGGTAACCCCATCAATTTCATTTTCATTTCGTACGTTAAATCGGCCAAAATTCCACTCTCATCGTATAAATGCAAACTAAATATACCTTTTTCAAGATCAAAACTAAAATAAAAAGATCGTTACAAAAAAAAATTATGCTTCAAAACTCTTTTACTCGACATCTTGGATTTTAACAACTTCAAAAAAATTGTAAGCGGTAATTTTTGAAAATTTTATACTTAAATCTTCACCCATGTTAATTTCAATTAACGGAATTTTAAGTGGATCCACGCTTGGTATTTTATAATTTTGATCGCCCTTTCTCAAAGATGAAATTGCATTTTGGCCACTTTGAATCATACATGATTTTAGATTTGGGTCCGATAAACTACATGGTTTAATGTACGATGCTAAAATATTCCAAAATTATGCGATGAAAAATGGTTAGAAATGAAAACTTACGTAAATTTAATCCGCAGCATGTTAAAATCGCTATAAATAAACAGAAAATAAATTTTATGTCCACCTTAGGTAACATTTTTACGAGATTTAATGAAAACATTTGATTTTCAACACTATTTATAGGTCTCATTGATACTTTGAAGAAATAATTGAGTAATTTATGAATCAATAATAATCATTAATTGTTGGCAATTAAATATACTTAGAATAATAGATATTGATTTGGTGTAAAGTCAATTTGAAATCTACTTAAATAATAAATCACATTATTTAATTTAGTGTTGTCTCGATCGTTTTATTATTATTTTTTTTATCAGAATATCTCGGAGAAAAAGTAAACGGAAAATAACAACATTAAATACAAAATGTGGGAAAGAACACAATCATCTCCTATATCTGGAAGAAGAAATGCCGAGGATGCAGAATACATGTCGATATACAACAACAACACCCACGACATACTAGAAGAAATATTCACAGCCAACAGCATCCCACATCATCACATTACGTCATCCCAAACACGTCGTATGCTCAAGCCACGCTTAAGAACTCGCTTGTCCAAAACTCATGCAACGATAATACTCAAATACATAACCCTTCCTCCTTAGAAACTCCTCTAATATTATCATCTATTATGAATTTTCTTAAAACAATTATTACTCCTCTCCTGAATCAAATCAAACATTATTTCCTAAATGACATACTCCCAGCTTTACTCAATGCCTCCTAAAACCTACTAAGAACTAGCAAATATCAACATCCTAAATTATTATAATTTAGGCCTACTTATAACATTTATGGTTGCTAATAAAGTCGATATTACTTATATAACGGAAACACATCTTGCAACTGGAGAAGACTTCGGAATTAAAGGTTATAAATGCTATAGATCGGGTAGACACTCTCGAACAGCAGCAGGAAGAGTAGCAATCTTAGTCAAGAGAGGAATAGCACACCATCAGAAACTAACAATATGGAAACTGTTGCCATAAACATGCACTTAGATACCAATAGAAAGATTGCAATTATCTGCGGTTACTGCCAACCTAACGTAAACCTCACAGAAAATGACGTTAGAAACTTATTTGACAATGATGACGCAAAAATGCTGATCGGTGACTTAAACAGTAAAAATAAATTCTGGGGCTGCAGAGCAGATAATCTAAATGGCATCTACCTCAACGAACTACTAAGCTCATACTGGCTCATATGGATTTTACATACTATCCCTATAGAAGAGATCATCAACCAGATATCTTAAATCTAGTTATAACAAAAAACGTAAATTTTCCAATTCATCAAACAGTAATAAATGAAATGTACTCCGACCACCTACCGATTCTAATTTCACTTAAACAAAAAGTTCTTGCAAGTCCAAAAGTACCTATACTCATCAATGGATTTATATCGTGGAAAAGTTTCAAAAATATTATGAACAACATAAATCTAGAACCACCATAACTAACGATCGAAAGTATAGACACCACTATTAGTGCTAACGCAGAATATATCAAAAGTAGTACATACATCTACGTGAAGTAACTCGCTGGTTAATAACAAGATGTATTCTATAAACTTCCAAGGCATATCATGGGATATCACGGATATGATTTGGTCATGGGATCAAAGAAAAGAGAGATATTAGAAGACAATGGCAACGAACTTGCCAATCCCTACTGAAACAAAATCTGAATCATATTATTCATGCTATTCATAGGGAAATAGAAGAAAATCGTACACAAAAATATTAAAACCTAATATCAATCATCGAAGTTTAAGATCTAGGTATGTGGAAAACCACAAGAAAGATTTTGAAAAAATACTAGGATAAACCCCCATTACATACGGATATGGTAGCAGGTATGGTGACGGATGATAAATGCAAAACTGAATTGTTTGCAGATTATTTAGAAAGAAATCTTACTCCAAACATCAACATTTTTCCGTTGTAGTACAGCATTTCAACGAAAATCATCTTCCGACGCTTAGTTTATGCAAAACTCTTGCCACTGTCAAAGAAATACGAGCTATATAAAAATGATACCAACCAAGAAATATGAAAAAGATAAATTTAAAAATTCCCAAATTGAATGCCTTAACGAGCTGATCTACAGTTCTAAAATTCCACTCTACAAACTCCTTCAACCCTATACCCAAAATGCAGAAAATTAATGCATCTGGACCGCGTGCATTTTTCGCACTTTTTGGGGTTCCAGCGGCCAACACCCATCTTCTTCCCCTACACCTACCCCTAACCCACTTTCCCTCTTTTTTATAATTAACTTAAAATCCTACTTATCCTCACCCCCTTTTTTTGTGATTAAGCTCTACATTGAACTAAATCTTAATAAAGAATTTTAAATTCTAAAATATATTATATTAAAATAAAAGATAAAAAAAAAATTTTTTTTAAATAATTTTACGAACAAATTCGTATTTCATTATTACTACTTTGAAATATTTTACTTTGCTTTTTCTTTGTCTCTGAGTCTGTTATTAACATTCACCAACTTAAATTGTTTTACATACGTTTGAAATTATTTACTTTTCATCTTTTACAAAAATATTGTTGTCTCTTTAATATTTCTGTTTTCGAAATTTGTACCAAAACGTCACAACACTTAAAAACTTGTTCCTATAGTATTTCGTTACACTCTATTTATCAACTTGTAAATTTTATCCTTAATTTTAAATTTTATTTTGAATAATTGCAAAACTTTTGTAAACTTAATATTTAACGATATGACTTTTTTGTGAACTCTTGTAAAAATGTAAGTAATCTTTTTTATTGTTTATCGTTTTTTTATTTTTATAAATTTAACTTTAATATCAAATTTCAAGAATCCTGTTCTGTTAAATAATTTAATTGAAAAAATGTTAATCTTATCAATATCTGAGTATTGACAATATTATTGAACGTGTGAGTAGAAAGATTGACAGATTGCTAATTCTGAAAGTATTGATGGGATGATTTGACGAAAACGAAAATATTTGATATATTGACAATAAATATTGACCGCCAGAGGGAGAGATTGACAATCCTACTTCAGTTGGCATTGAAATGAGCTAGAGCTCAAGAAAAATCTGCGTATTTTATGAAATGAATTCAGATAGAGATATTTTACTGGACGAAACTGCTATTAACTCCCAGGATGACGTAAATAGTAATGTATGCGATGGTTCATTGACACATACAAATCGGGATGCGTTATTATTAAATTTCATTGAAAACTACAGAGAGCTATCCGAGTTACGGAATGTTCCTTCAAAAACATACTCAAATAAGGATAAAAGAAATATGGCATACGACCAGCTTCTGAGTATTTATAAACGAATTAAAACAAATGCAACTAGGGATGATGTTAAGAAGAAAATTAATTCTCTGAGAACTAACTATAGGAAGCAATTAAAAAAAGTGAAAGCTTCTAAAGGAACTGGTACTGGCACCGATGAAGTACCCAAATGCTGGACTTTTAAAGAATTGAGCTTTCTCAGTGAGTGACTCCCCCCATCAAATGACTCCTCTCTCAATCTGACCAGTGGTAATGTTTTCAGAGTCAAGTGCATCTTGTACCATTGTATCTTTCTTAATAATAATTGGTCCCACTAGATTTAACAACTCGTCGTAACAAGCGTTAGTCATGCGAAAGAACTTTTGAAAATCTTTTGGAGTAGATACGCGCACCTCATCCAACATATTCATGTGAGAAAACGTGTCTCTCTTTAGAAGGCATTCTCTAGCCCATATTCTCTTTTCTTCCGGCGTTCTATTGTTAATGCTAAAATAATAGCTACACAAGCTTTTTGACGGTTTGACTGCCAGCGCAAAACTAAGTAGATCGTCAATAAATATTGATAGTCTGAGGCAATTACAGTTTGTCAATGTTTATTGGCCATAGTGACAATATATGTGCATATTGATCGTTTAATAGAAACGCATTTTGCATGTATTTTCGGCGCATCTTCTTATAAAGAAATCGTACGGCTGAAAAATACCTCATTCGGCGTCAAGTGACTCGCCGTTAGACGCATCTGTAAAGCACCAAATAATGATACAATAAATTCGGATTGTGGTAGCAATCAACGAGGCAATAAACATGTAAAGCTTTAGATCTTTCCATTAAAGATTTTAAAGAATTTTTCGCGGAACACAGTTTGTCAATTGCTGGAGTAATACATCAAAAAAATTAGAATCACTGCAAAACAAAATGATTAGAATAGCAGCAGCACGGTTTGTCCGAAAGGAACAAATAAGAAAAGAATTAAATGTAGAGATGATAACAGATTACTTAACGGGACATTAAAGCCATTAATGAAAAACTTAAATTCTATATGAAATGAAAGACCACGGGGAACCATAGTTATTACGAAACCTTTCGTTTTCTCCGTTCTCGTACTAAAGCCTTAATCACAAATGATTATAATCTGTTTCTGGGCACCATACAATCTAACATGCGTGATAATCCAAGTGGTCTGTGGTCTTTCATTAAATTAAAAAAGAATGGTAACATAACTATTCCCGGTAAGTTGTCCTATTGCGATCGGGTGGTTAAAGGTGGGCAGGATATCTGCGACCTTTTCGCTGATTATTTCGGATCTATATTTGTTGATGGATGCGGGGACGGTTTACTGCTTGGTTTACTCGGGACGACATTTTGCGTGAATTGTCATCCGTGAGTCCCAGGGCTGTAGCGGACCCGGATGGTCTGCCCGGCCTATTCTACCGTGTATGTGCATCGGTACTCACTGAACTACTGGCGTGTATTTTCAAAACCTCCCTTCACTAATAATCCCCATTCATAAATGTGGCGCGCGAAACCTAATTGCCAACTATAGACCCATCTCAATCCTGTCAATATACCTAAAGCAACCTGGAACAGCCATTATTTTCACTAGAACAACCCTATAAAGGACACTTTACTCTTTGAAAATTAACGTTTTTGGAAGTTTCAGTCAGTCATTCTTGAGTCAGCGGTTTTAAATTACACAAGAATTTATACATATAGAACAATCTAAAATAACTCAAACTTTGCTGATTCAAATTGTTCTAGATGTGTTTTACATTTAAAGTAGGAAAAAATGTTTTTCTGGCTACACGGACATTAATTTTACAAAATCATATCTTCTTAAAAATACAGCAAAATGCAGACCTAACAAGAACAATAATAAATCAACAAATGAATAATCCAACTATTTGATCAGCAAACAAAAATACATTGTTTGTATTATACATTATGTATTAAAAACTAAATATCTTTGTGTTCCACCCACACAGAGATATATTTATATATACTATATATTTATATATACTATATATTTATATATACTATATTTGTTCCCATATATTAATAAAATAAAATATTAAAATTCGGATGAATAATTATACAGGGTTTCCCTAAATTAACGGATAAATTCGTTAAAACAACTAATAACAGTTTATAGAAAAATCGCTGAGACGGGTCTAAGAATTTACATTTTTTGCAATTTTTTGGTATAGATTTCAATTTTTTTCCGCCATTTTTAAATAAGTTATGATGTCATCGCTATTTTTTTCAAATAGCAATTTGAACTTTCATTATAGAATATAAAAGAGGATTTTTTTCTGAATTTGGTACCGTCAAAATTAATATTAGCTACATAACAAAATTTTCGAGAAATATTGTCTTAAACTGTTGTTTGTATTATGTAGTGTATTTTTGTTTGCAGATCGAATAGTTGGATTATTCATTTGTTGATTTATTATTTTTCTTTTTAGGTACTTTAGGTTCTCTTAGGACTTTTTAGGTCTGTATTTTTAGGAAGATATGATTTTGCAAAATTAATGTCCGTGTAACCAGAAAAACCTTTTTTTCCTACTTTAAACGTAAAACACCTAGAACAATTTGAATCAGCAAAGTTTGAGATATTTTAGATCGTTATATGTTTTTTAATTGCTATTTTGTAATTTAAAACCGCTGACGCAAGAATTACTGACTGAAACTTCCAAAAACTTTAATTTTCAAAGAGTAAAGTGTTGTTTATAGAGTTGTTCTAGTGAAAATAATAGCTGTTCCAGATTGCTTTAGGTATAATAAGTATATATTTGTAATATGGAATTGAAAACAGAAAAACTATGGTCACAGCAATCAACTAGACATTTTGGCAGCCAAACCTATTTTTAGTTATAACTTCGTAATGCTGTATACTATAATTTTGGTTTTCTAGAACAACCCAGAACAACAAAGAAAATCTGATTTTGCCAAAAATAGGGGGCTAGTCAACACCCTTTTTTCAATTTTTCTCACCAAGGTTTTATTTTTTCTATTTGCCGCTTTGGAACAATGTAGAACAACTCTAGAACAATCTAGAACAACAATAAAAAATTTAAAAATCAAAAAATGGGGGGCTAACTTCCCGCACTCGCCCCAGGAACGTTTTATACGTAATTGAAATCAATTACCTGTAAAATTTTTATCATTTATGATAAAAAAGTTACATGAAAAAATGCGACACGAACACACAGGTTGGGTCTAATAGGCCCAAAGCCCTTGTCATAACTAAATAACAAAACATGAAATTAAAAACAAAAGAGAAATTTAGTGAGCATGTAGTAAATACATATAAGAAGGTGCCCAGAAGATACATCAATTTAAAAAAATATTTGAAAAGATATGTACATTAAAAAAATGATTTCGGCTGGTCACATAGACCCAGCCCGTCAACCGGAGGGTTAAAGCGAACTACTACAATATTTTTTCAAGAAATTCACTTGTGCAACTCAGCCGAAGAACATAATTTGGGTGCTCGAAACATTCATGTCAGACTGAAACGACAATTACCACAAGGTATGCACATACTCGAATAAGATAACACATTATTCGAGGAGCCAAAATCTGCTAAATAATCATCAGAGCCGTGACGTTGTCGGGCAAGTCATTGGCGGCTCGTCTCTTTGCTGTAGAGACTCGGGCGACATCACGCCACATATAGTATACCACGCCACTGGCTGAGTGTTAGTCGGACAATCGGCTAAACACGTATTCAACGCTGCACCGCGGAGAACTCCCCAAATCTTACATGGGCCAGCATTCAACCGGTATCGTTACGTTGCGGCACATCGATGTGCTCGATAGAAGCATGTTACTACAGCGCTATAACCCGTTCGCCGCTCTATATAGATGATGACATCAACAGCTCGAAACGTCACGGCTCTGAATTAATCATCGATTTTAATCTATTGTATTAACATAACTTGTAGAACATTTATATATTTATTATGTAGGTCTGGTTTAGCTAATAATAAAAAAAAATTAGTATAATTTAGTATTTTAATCCAATTCATCTATTTCAACACTATCCAAATTAATAACAACAGTATCTTCCGCAACATGACATTCTTCATTAACCTTTTTCCCTCCTTTATCAACATCTTCCATATCTTTTTTATTTTCATCACCTTTTTTATTAACAATTGGCACTAAATTAACGTTAGATTCTTTGTCATTAATTTCCTCCAAATTTTCGTCTTTATTTTTCTCATTTTTGTTCTCTATGATCTCATTTTCTGATCCCTTCTCAACATTAACATCTCCTTTTCCCAAATTTTCAACATCCCCATCTTTATTTTCTTTGTCTTCATTTTCAGAATCGATAACAACCACTTCTTCCTTTAAACTATCTTGAACGATAATTTCTTCAATATCAGAGTCATCTGCTTGAATAACTTTATTTTCTTTATTAACTTTAGTTTTTTGTTGGTTTTCTAATGCTAATTGAGATCTAATTGCTCTAGCTCGAGCTTGTAATTCCAATATTTCTAGCACACTCATTAATTTTTCTTTTTCATCCATTTTTTCAGTCTTAATTTTTCCTTTTTTATTATCAATTTTCTTATTACTTTTTTTACTACTTCCCGGTTCATTTAATTTCCCGTTACAATCAGAGTTGAAATCTTCGACATCCGAGATGTCATCCAGCGATATAATATCAATTTGTTCCTTTTCTTCTTCTGAATCGGAGGAGCTTTCATCAACGTTAACTCCATTTAAAATGTTTTTTAAACGTTTTTTTGAAATGCCAAGTAACTCTTCTAAAAGCATTGAATTTATTTCTTGAATGTCTAAGTTTTTCATGAAGTCGGGAGCGATTGCTTTGATCTTTTTCGGTTTTAACAATTTCAATACTTCCTTCATCAATTGTACTCTATTATCGGCGTAATAAAATAATTCTTGGTTACTTCCATCGTCTGAATCGCTTTCAGATTGTGATTTTTTCACCTTTATCTTCGATTTTATTTTAACAGACATTTAAATCAACATAACCTCAATTTAAAAATATTTATGAAGTTGACATACAGCTGTCAAAAGTTTTATTTTTTATATTTAATTTATTATTTTATTTCGTTTAATAACATTTTTATTCGTTTATAAATTAATCAATCATTTTAATGATTTAAATGTAATTTAAGGTTTATTTAAAATTATTTCGACATTTTGAATCAATTTTTTATGTTGGTAGCAATGCCCGGCGCATCAAACTATAATTTCTCGTTTATCGTTATTTTTAAGTGAAAAAGCCGTTAAAATAAATATAAACCACCACTTAGTGCTTCCAAATAACCAATTTAATATAATTAAAGGTAAAAATGTTTAATTCTTCTATTAAAAAGTAAATAATAAATTGACGATAACTTATTTGAGGTTAGGTTTTAGGTTGAAATGGATAGAAGTTTAGAGATAGGCAGGGGCCCCATCGTAATGATGGAACAGGCCGCCCAACAGATTGAAAAGTGCCTTATAAAGGATAATTCTGCCCCAACACTGCCTGAACAATTAAATATTCACCAACAAAGTGGAGCAACAGCCTCAGGATTTACCGATCATGATTATCCCGTTTTAAATTCAATCGATTTAACATCAGCAACTTTGACGCAAGTTAAAACATTATGTAAAGTTCCTTTACCAACAGAAATAATGGAAAATTTTGGTCGTATCCTTACATTTATTTTTATTTATTTATTGAGTTAGTTTGCGAGCTGATCTTGGTGGGATAAATTGGTCATGTGCTCTTAATTTTGTGTGTGTTTATTGATAAGTTTTTACTGTATCATAATTTGCACTATCCGTTTAAGTATGTCAGGGCTCCAGTGTGTAGTCCTGTAAGGGCTACGTCATGCCAAAAATTAGGCTGAGCAGAAATGAGTTAAACAATACTTTTTGGGTTGCTCGTGTAACTCAATCTCCAGTAATAATGGAAAAGTATGTGTATGAAAAGAAAAACTACAAACAGCTTGTTAAGCAAACTAAAAAGAGTATGTAAAGAATAGGGCGGCTAATTCAAACAATAGTTCTAAAGAATTATGGAAATTTGTTGCATTCTAATCAAGTTGTAAATGACATTTGTGGTTTCTTTGTGAATGAACCCAAACATATAGTTTAAAAAAGATTTGGCTCTGAGATTGGGAATCCCAACTTTTATCATTCTTCTTTTTTTGCCCAATTTCAGTGTCTGAGGTGCTACTTGCTATTGAGAGACTGAAAAATACTGGTAAATACTGACTCAACTTTTTATTTTATGCTCCTTGTACAAGAGTAGCTAGAATTAAATTTAAAAGATATATAGAACTACAAAATAAGTATTTATTACTACAGCAACAAGAACAAATAGTAAATCATTAAAATACAAAACAACTCATATTAATTATATCATTTTACACTTGACTTTTGTGCTATTGTCCGATTTAATTGTCAATATTGACAAATTGTTTAACCATTGTTATCATGTTTAACCTCATGTTCAATCTTAAATAATTTTTTATTCATCATAAACAAGAACAGGAGCGTTCAGCAAAACAATTTGTTACTGCAGTACTCTTAAATATCCTTAAAGCAATGTAAACGTTTGGATAAAGGTCACTGTAGCAATTACTGCTAATCCATTGACATAAATTGTTTACTGATAGATTTTTGCCCTTTAAATATTTTCTTAAATGTATGCATTCTACAAGGAAATTTTCCTCCACGTCCTCACTTTGAAAATCACACATGATTTTATAATTACAGTAAACGGACTCATATGCTGAACATCGTTTTTCCAACTCATTGCATTTTAATACATTTTAATATATTATTTTACATTTTAATACTAGCATTAATTCTCTGTGAGATTTTTTCCCAAAAAACTGCCATAATGGCTGTTTCAAGACGAAGTAGTGGATTCCTTAAACCCTTAACTTTATTTCTTGTCAAACTTTTCTCAGTAACGTCATTTTCTAAATTCTATTAACCCGTTAATAGAGTGCATGAAGTTATTCTTTTGATCAAAAACAGCTTTATGTATTTTTCTTTAATTTTATTAAAAATATGCCTAAAATACACTTAATCATATTTGCGTTAATCAAACTTTATTTTAACAGAAATATGTATGACAATTTAAAAACGTAATTATTTACAAAAAATGTTAAGGAATAATAAATATAACTTTTAGCATTTTTTTAGTATGATAACGTTCAAAACAGCATTCAGGATGTAGGACAATATTACACTTTATACATAGGAAATTTGATTTTTTTTGTACAATGTTTACATCGTCCATTTGTCTTAGAGAAGCGAATCAAATGACCAATGTTATCATAACGGATTGCCAGCAATGCCTCAGATACAGAAGTTTTCCCTCTTGGCGCCCCAACGGTATATCATGTCAATAAGCTGAATACTTATGGCGGAAATACCAGTAATGAAGAACAGTTTATATTATTAGGTTTCAATTTCTTCATAAGGAGCTACCCATTAACAACTAAAGCATCTAACAGAAATGAAAAGATTGGCCAGTACCACTTTTGAAGCCTCATTCGCGTTCTATATACGTTCCATTCCTTTATTATAGCTTGTTACTATTTCGGGCTGCTCTATGGCTCTATAAGACCTACTTTCTTTGGATGTACTGCTGGATACAGATTTTTTTTGAAAGTTAGTAACCTCTGTTATCTTTCCATTGAAAAAGTAATACTTCATCACTTCATGCATGATTTATTCCAAAACCTCGTATTGGGGAAAGGACATTTTTCTGTTCGATTTGGGCGTATTGTACCTGTTTCACATATTTTCTTCTCCTTCAGATAACAAAGTAAACCAACACTGGTAAAATAATTATCAAAATAGATCTTATACCTTTCATTTTCTCCAATTCCAGCTTTATTTATTAGATCTAAAACGACATTTCCTCCAAGTCCAAACTTATTCTCATTTCTTTTACAACATTTTCCATGTATATACATCAAAGCTTACCATATATCCTTCACTTGTACACAGAGACCAATTTTTAGATCCAAATCTTACAGGTTTACCTTTCATGTATTGCTTCACGTAATTTTCGCCGCATTAAGGTATCATACTTTTATCTATGGATGTGTTTTCTTCCCGTCCACCATGTTTTTTAAAGTTTTCATAAAGTTTTTCAATCTTAGTTTGTTCTTAAGTCTTAGTTTATACAATCTTGAAATTATTGTGAGTGTTATTGTTGAAGTGTATGTTTCGTAGAATTGTTTCAAATCTATTTAATCGCATTCCATCTTGAAAACTTTTTGGCACATCACCTTGGCTCTTCCACATAATTCATTTGTTCAGGTATTTGGCATATCCAGATAGTAACATACCGCCAAACACTACAAACAATTCATCAATGGTTACATGCACTTTATTGTTTTCTTGTTGGGCGTATATGTTTGTATATACAGCATCATCAAAAAATAATTTATAATAACCATTGGATTATCTTCTGCTTGGTCAGCTTCTTTGGAATGTTTCCTGGGGTCGCATGAGATGTTGCAAGAACACAATGAAGTAGTAACTTCACACAGCTTTTGATGATTTTGATGTTGAAGAGGGAGCGTTCTTCTTAAATGTGCAAGTGGTAGAAGATCTTCCTGATCAAAATCGTCATCAGATCCATGAAACTCAACATCACATTCTTGTTTTACGATACCTTTCGATAAATGGGTTGCATCACCTACATGTTCATCGTCAGATTTATCACTATCCTCTTCCGTTTCGGCTCTCTGGTCATCAGGTAGCGTAATGTATATGTTTACATGATCATTATCCTTGTCGATGTAGTCTAAGAGCTCATAATTCTTAACATATCTTGCGCTCGATTTCACATCTTGAGCGGGAAGCGACAAAAGACATTTTTTTGAACTTTTGAGTAACAAATGCGGCGCGCAAGTACAATGCAGCAAATGCATAATAGGTGGCGCCAATTAGCAATTAACTTATAAAATATAATTATGACGTCCCTTTTAAGGGACACTATGCGCTACTGGGTTAATGTAATAATAATTTCTATCCACGACTTAATTAAATTCCGACAGGAATCAGCTCTAGATGACCATCTCGTAACGGACAAGCTTTTTAAAGTTAAATTTTTACCAATTTTAGCGTACAACCGTTGCCATCGGCGAGTTGAGAGTGCAAAAAAATTGTGTAGATTTTGTAGTAAATTGAAAAAGTATACAGCCTCGCTGTAACTAGACGCTGCACAATTGCTAACTAAATTTAATGAATGAGCTGCACATGGTATAAATTCAGTTCGTGGATTAATTTCTTTTATTCGAGCTTGGACACCTGTATAAATTCCCGATATATTGCATTATCATAATATATGACTGGCCACGAATTGGATATAAGTATATCTAATTCTGAAAGTGTGTATACTTCTGCTTTGTGACCTGTATTTGGTAGGAAGAATAAAAATCTTTCCACAGGATTGCCACTCTCTTGCACGTACTTTATTACGAAGAATAATTGATCCACATGCGCCAAATCTGGTGAAGAATCAACAATAAAATTATTGAAAAATATTTGGATGCTTTAACTTCATCGACCATAATTCTTCTAGTTTCTTTAGCGAGTAATGCCACAAATTCCTCATTAATTGTTGAGGTCATGTAGTTTGTTCGACCAGAGTCAGAATTCTTATATTTTCGAATATGCTCCGCCAAGAATGGATGAAATTCTGCTACCAATTCCATTGCCATTAAAAAATTTCCATTACTAGAAGAGCCTGTCTCGTCACGATCTCGTGACGGAGGACCACGATTAGCTGTGATCCTCTCAATTTGAAATCCAATATTGATTACTTCTGCGAATGAGATGATTCGTGCTGCTCAACGCAAATATTTTTTCAATCGTCAAACCCAGTAGTTGCAAATCTACAACCGCCGCAAAACACTCAACCAGTACTTTCTAAGTATATCAGCCAAGTTCTTTGCGTTTGTTCACCGTTTACTAATTTTCTAGTAAATATTGTAGGGTTTAAATATTTTGCCTGATCAAGATAAATACGTTTCGATTTAGAAAAATGTATCTCTTTGTTTGGTTCGAAGGCATTACTTGCAAAAGAATTGGTGGTTGAATCATTTATATCCCATTTAACAGGATCTCTGCCCGGTTTTATAATATCCACAGTAGTAACAAGATTTAAGGAAGCGTTATTTTCAATGACATTGCTAGACATTGCAGTTGATACTGATTCGTTACTTTTATCTTCTTCAACTTTTAGAGAAACAGCTTGCTCTTGGTCGTCAAAAAGATTCATTTCTATTCAATTCGTTTTCTTTTTAGTTAACTACCACCTCACATAACCGGAAGTAGCACTTTACCTGAACCTATACCTATTTGTTTCATATAAAGTGGTACTTACAATAATTTATTGTGGTACTTAGTAATAAAATATCTATGAAAAACGTATAGATAAAAAATTTCATTCAAATCGTGAATCTAGAAGTATTATTTTACTTAACAAATCACCGCCACTTGTGATTTTGCATATGGAAATTAAAATAGAGAAAATTCAACAATTATTTCGAATTTAGTGCAATGATAATTTTAAAAGTATTTTTCAAAAATTTATTTTTCAGTGGGTTAAAAGTATTAGAAAATCGAATATAGATCACTCTAGCTTTGTTATTATTATGCAATTAAAAAAAAAATGCAAACACTGCATTATTAGTTGATAGAATGTGTCTTTTTATGTTTTTCATTTAATGTTACCTCTTAAAAACAGGATAAAAATATGTTAAACAATTATAAATTATAATCATAAGGTATATAATAATTTTATAGTAGTATACAGAATTATATGTACATTTTATTGATTTTTTATGAATATTACCGATATTATAGAGTAATACTATTTTTGGAAAAACCCTAACAGATTATAATCTCTAACTATCTGAGCTATAAATATTATAATACAATGAACTTCAAAATTTACATTTTTAATTAATTAATATACATATAATAATGTTTAACTCGTCCACTATTCCATCATTGCCTGACAAAGTTCAACTTGTTCAATTTAATTTTCAGAAATCATGTGATGCTGTGTTAAAAGAATTAGCAAAGAGCAAAATGGTTGGGGCTTTATAATTAAATAAAAAAGTACTAAAGGATATAACTTTTGTGTACATATATTTTTGAGCATTGCTAACTGCTAAAACTCTAGTCAAAGTTAAAGAAATCTCTAAATTGATGGCATCGGTCAATCCGACGTTTATTATTAAAATGCAACCATGAAATTACGTATTGATACTTGAGTTTTTGGCCTTTTTGGGAAGATATGATGTTATATAGGTTTTAGACTAAAATTTTGTGGTAACACTCTTTAAAAATCACGACAAAGTTAACCGAAATACGTGAAATCAGAGACATATAAACAATGATATATTTTTTTAACTTAATTAGATCACTTAAAAATAAAACTTAAGTTAATTATTAAAATTTAACATTTCTACTATAAGATTCAATTGAAAAATCAGCAAACGGCTCAAATATTCCAAAGCTTTTGATTTAAAATTAGAGAATAGTAAATTGAAATTTTTAAGCCTTTAGCGACCGTATTGACTACGTTTCGAAAAAATTCAATTCTGCATATTTTACACTTCTAAAGTTAAAAGGCTCTTTGGTTGTTAGTGGTGTCTTGAGTGCATATTATGCCCTTGCGCACTCAGTTTTGGCATATAATATTCTCATTTGGGGCAGAGCTTCTGGGTGGATGAGAGTGTTTGTTGTCCAGAAAAGAATCATTCGGGCCATATACGGTCTTCAATCAATGGAGTCTTATCGACCCTATTTTCGTTCAGGGAATATTTTGACTTTTCCAAGCATTTTCATTTTTAAAGCCACATGTTTTATGCGTAGTCACCTACACCGCTTTCAGCTTCCTGGCCATGAGTATGAAACAAGAAATAATAAATTATTTGTTTTGAAGCGTTGTTCGAAAAGTCGCCATTCTATTGTTTTGTAAAATTCTATAATAAACTTCCATTAAAGCAGCAACTAAATATGTAGGTTTTAAAAAGGTTTTTTTAATAAATAAAGCGTATTACTCGCTACAGGAATACATGGAGGCATGTTTGTAATATTTATACTTGATTTTTTGTTGTTTGTATCATCTTAACAAACAATGCTATGGTCTGCTAATTGTTATAAAATGTGTTTTTCTTAACGTATTTAGATATGCAATGTCATTGCATGATGGGGTTATTTCCCGAAGTTGATAGAGCTTGGTTAACAATAGACAGTGATATTTATCTTTGGATGTACGAAAAAGGAAATGATGTTGCTTATTACGACGGTTTAAACGATACCATAATAAGCGTAGGATTGGCAACACCGAAAGCAGGCGTTTTTCAGTCTTTTATAAAATACTTATTAGTTCTTACAACAGCATCGGATATAATTGTGTTGGGAGTTACTTTTACGGGAACCGAAGAAAACCCAACTGCCGAAATACAACTTGTACCTGATCCTGTATTTTCTGTACCCACGGAAGGTGCCGTTATTACAACCATCGCCGGAACAAGCCACGGGAGATTATTTTTAGGCGGCAAAGACGGCAGTTTATTTGAAATTTCTTATCAAGCAGAAACCAGTTGGTTCGGAAAACGTTTTAAAAAAATCAATCATTCGCAGTCGAACTTTTCGTTTTTAATGCCGTCATTTATTAATGCCGCTTTAAGTGATGTTAATGGCATTGTTCAAATTGCAATTGATAATTCACGTAATATTTTGTATACTTTAACTGAAAAGGGAACAATCGAAGTTTATGATCTTGGTGCTAACCGAAATTCTTTTAGTCGTGTTGCTAGACTGAATCAATCCCAACTTGTCCAAATGGCTGTAAATACAGTAAAGTAATTAAACATAAAATTAAAGGGTTACTATTTTTTAATTAAATAACTTTTTTTTTGTTACAGAACATTGGATAGTCAAAATTTTCGTCCAATAATAAGTATTTCACCAGTGGAGCTTTCTGAATCATCTCAAATAAATCTAGTGGCGATTTCACAAAGTGGAACTCGCTTTTATTTAACAACAACTGGGAAAGCTCAACAACCATCGATAAGACCTTATTGTTTAACGCTTTCTCACGTTCGTTTGCCCCCGGGATTTTCCGCGAATATGACAACACGCCCGAGAAACGTTCATATGGGTCATTATAAATCCCGAAATTTAATTTTGTTATCGAGCGTTACGGAAAACGACACTCTTTGGTGTATAAGTTCGGATTTGTTTCCGTTCAGCCCGTCTTTAATGGAAGTTCACACTACAGTTTCATTAGATGGACCAGCTTTAGCCGTTGCGGAAGTGCCGTACGAAAAATATCCTCAACGACAATTACCGGATCCCCCATCGATTGTTTCCCAACACATTGAACCACCAAAAAAATACGTTGTGTTAACCTCGCAGGGGGCTCATGTATTTTTAAAACTACGTCCAGTGGATTTATTGAGACAAATTTTACTTGAAAGTCGCGGTTTGGATACGGATGTGATTAAAAATTTTTTTACAGTTTTGTTAGCCGATCAGGCGTGTGCCACAAGTTTGATTTTAGCGTGTTTGGAGGACCCCCAAAATTCCGATGTTGCTGAGTACGCTACGAGAGCTTTCTTTTTATTTGGTGGTGAACCTAGATTGGCTCCTTTAACAGGTCATCAGCAAAATATTCGTAAGTTTTTAAAGACCGCCCTACTAGCAAAATGCTTTAAAATTTTTCTATTTTATTGTTAATTTATTATTGCATTTGAAAAGCTAATTTGCTTTATTAAAGATGCACTGATGATATTATTATATTATTCAGGGTGGTCCATTTAACGTGAGACAAGCGATTATCTCGAAAACGGTTTATTTTACATAAAAATGAACCAAATGAAAATTATTGTTCTTTTCTTCTCTTTCCATTGTTGAAAATTAAAATAAAAAATTGGTTTTCGCACTTTAACAATGGATATTTATTTAACTGATCAGCTTTAACCGGTTTCGCCTAATTTATATCGGCATCTTCAGAAAGCTTTCTAAATTATACAAAATACAAAATTACAAAAAATTTTAATCTAGTCGAAGGTAGTTAAAAAACAATTAAAAACTTACGTCTGGAACGAACACTTAAGACAAATTTTGATAAGTTATGTGGATAAAACGGATAAACTTGGGTGTCAAGTTCTCCTCCAGGCAGATCTTTAGAAAAAGGATATGTTGTAGTTCTTGTTATAGTTTTAATTGTTGTCTTTTGTATTCGAAAAAGGTAGAGGTCGTACTAACCCTTGAAATATTGTTCTATTCTTCTCTTTCCATTGTTGAAAGTTAAAGTAAAAAATTGGTTTTTGTAACAAAATTAGTTACAAAAAATTTATATTATATTATATTTATTTTGTATTTTGTATAATTTAGAAAGCTTTCTGAAGATGCCGATATAAATTAGGCGAAACCGGTTAAAGCTGATCAGTTCAATAAATATCCATTGTTAAAGTGCGAAAAGCAATTTTTTATTTCAAATGAAAATTGTTCTGTGCGAAAGGGGAAACCATATGACGATAACATTTTTTGACCTTGACCTTATTTTCAAGGTTATATGAAGGTCACGACCAATTTTTTAAATAGCACCTTATATATTTTATTGTAAAATCTGAATCTGTGGATGAAAGTAAAGTAATTAAAAGAAAAATAAAAAAATTACAAGTACAACAGCAAAACATCTTTTAAAAAACATTGAAACTTCTTCAGAAACAATTAACTAACGTTTATAATCTAGCAAGAACAAATAAGATTTATAAATTATTAAACATTTACCTACTCGCTTCGATACATTATTAGTGCTTAATTCTTAAAATACTATTTAAGAATGCTCAACAAAAAAAAATCCAGAAGAGGTACATCGGGTGACCTGGCTCGTCGGAAATACCTTTGGAAAGAGGTCTAAAAGGTTCCGACATTTTTCCGCCTTTGTCAATTTGATAACAGAATAACGCATAAAAAACAAGAGTTCGTGGAACTGCTTATGTCGGCATTTTCAGAATATCGCTTTCAGAGATTTAATTGGTTGAATTGTTTTAAAATGTAACAGGTAGAACTAAATTTGCATAAAAACTGCTTGGCAACAAATTCGGAATTCATTCCATCGTTTTACATTAAGGCAAAGTGTTTAAACTAAGTCATTAAATCATGGATACTCTAAGTGTGGCAGAAAAAGTCGCAATGATTTTTATTTCTGGAGAAAGTAGCAGAAAAGTTGCTGATAGTATAACTTTGTACCGAGAACGGTTTCCTGATCGAAATACGTCTTCGAGAAGTACCAAGGGATTTTTTCGATATATTGATTTTTGGCCAAATGGCGCACTTCTAAAATGGAAAGTGAAGAGTTTGCCTAAAAAATCATCAGATAATTGTTAATAACAAATGAACACCTTTAATATAAAAAAAAATCTTATGTACTTCCATAGACAATGTATTTTTCAGGATATATTCAATGTTTCAAATGAATCAGTTGAAAATTGTCTGGATTACGTTTCCGGCCAACTTAAAAATGCAGTTTCAGATAAACGCGTTTGAAGTTTTGAGTAGTAGAAAATTATAAATAATTTTGCAATACCTTTTAGTCGCCGATGCCTGCACCATACAACTGGCCTTCCAGATTATCATCCTGCTGTTGCTTTTCTTTTCTGCTTGATCTTGAAGCAATCCTTGCCTCTTTTGCCTGTTTAGACAGCCATCTCTCTGCAAGCTTTATGCGCTGTTTGTCGATCTCTAGGCACATTTCGTAGCTGTTCGGGCCGATTTCCAAGCCCATTGCCTCCATTATATGCAAAATTGAAGAAAACCCGTCATTGTACAGACACACCACAATATTCGTAGCTACATCCAAGATTGTTTTAAAATGTTTGAAAGATTGTTTCGAAATGGATTTCGGGGCCAACGCCCACACAATCGAGTTGAAGCTTTCGTTACTGTTTTGTGTATAACCGCCGATGCATCGAGTTAGAAGATTGTCACTGGTCAGTTCTTCATAGACTGGTTTGATAGCTTTATAGACTTCCATTGGGAGGGCTGGCTTATGTTTGTACTCAGCCAAAGTATTTGTTGCTTTAGCCCATTGCCATGAGCGCCATGTATCCTCTCCAATAAGACATTTATCGGGCTGCGGTTTGGCATCAGTAGATAATTTATGATCCAGTGTAGCCCATATGCTGCTTCTCATGTTCTCAACTGAATCACTGTTCCGACGAATCGCTAATCCATAATAAATAGATAGCTCGTCTATAAGTTTCCCAGTCAATTTGTGTCTTCCACCGAGACCTTTTGTCTTCTTTTTTAAATTACGTAGTCTGGTACCCATTCTCTTTTGCACGTGATCTATACACTCTCGCTTGACTACTGTTAAATCTTTATACGGCTTAGCATCTGTAATGCCTTTAAAAGTCTTAGAATCACCGTCACCAATATAGTGAGTGTATTTGACCCGGTGCAAAGTTTCAGAACGCCGAAACATCTCAACAACGGCATCGACTTCCATTTTTCCTGCCGAACCATCGTGATTCATAGCACATTTTTCAGCATGATTTTCTGCCCACTCCGCATATTCTTCAGTATCTTTTTTTTTGAGCCCAATACTCACACGCCTTACAGTATTTTGATTTTACTGCACAATCAACGATTTTTCCACAGTTACTGCCAATAAGAGACACTAACCCATACAAAGCTGTAAAACCCCCTTTTCTCCACGAACCTACAATATAACTACAATTCCGTTTTCTCCATTTTCAATAGAAATGGTTTTCTCATCTTCCGCAGCTCTCATTATACTGTTTTTGCAAACTAGATTGGTTGCAGTGGACATTCTTTTGACAACCTTATCATAGAATGAGTGAAAGGTAGACCGAGGTAATTCCATGAATGCACAGAATTTTCTTAATCCGTGCCAACCAACTCCAAGCAATCGCATGGCAACTATGATTCTATGGTTGATTGCATAGCCTTTGTCAACAAATGGACAACTCGGTATCTCAGTCGCCCAGCAAACAAGAAACATCTGTGAAACATTTCAATTTTAACGTACAGTAAATTAAATGAAACATTTTAGAACTACGTTTCATATACGTGACAGATACGATTTTTACGAAACGTATCTAAAGATATGTATCAAATACATTTCAGTAGGAATATTTATGAAATATCATTAAAATATGTAGCAGAAACATTTCATTTGAAACATTTCTTTACAAATGTGTCTGAAACCTGTCTGGAATATCTTCATCACGGTGACGCGGTCAGTGTCTTGTCCTATTGTGAGATTTGTTCTGTTCTCAGTTCAATATTGGAATGGCGCAAATTTTGTATAAGTTTTTTATATATCACCACTAGATTTAGTTAATGAAAATACGGCTAGTGAACGCTATTTAAAGAAAGAGACCTATGTAATAGTATATTAAAAAATAAGTTTCGTAAGACACGCTTGAAATGCACGAATTCAAGTTGAAAAACGAGTGGCGAAGTCATGAGTTTTTTAATGAAGGAGTGCTTTAAGTCTTATGAAACGTGTTTTTTTATGCTATTTTTTGTAATTCGCGTTTTTATCCTTTTTTTAACAAAAATAAAGTAAATTTTGACAATGTAGGGAAATAGGTATGCAGCTGACAATTAGAAACTGTCAAAACACAAAATGTATTTACCTGAAAAAAATGTTGCATGTTTTAACATGCAACTCTGTTTTAACATGAGTTGTTATTCATTTTATTATTGAAAAATTAAATAGCAATACGTGTTGGAGTCGAGTACATTTACCTTAGTATTTTAGATAAGTCAGTAATATTAGTAAGTAGGTTAAATAGATTTATTAACATGTAGAAGGTGAATAGAATAGAATAAGTCGTCGATGCGTTAACACGAAAATGTTAGTTATAAGTAGTTATAAGCATCGGATGCTGTAAGGAGTCTCATTACAGCACCCGTTTGAGTACTGTTAGAGCTTTCGTTACCATCGCGAATTATAAAAAGAATTTTACGTTTTCCGTAGGTCAAATCATAACGATCATAAGTTATAAGGTGTGATCGCTAAATTTGGCTGTTTTCTCCTACAATCATATAAAATCTAAATTATATAGTTATTATAGTTTTACGTTCGTGTGATGTGAGATAAGTTGGAAAGAAAAACGTTAAAGCTGAATATTTCTAGGAGACATTTTCATAGATTGGTAAACTATTTACATTTTAGAAATAATTTAAAACTGTTAATGAAACATTTTAGTAATGTACCGTAATTGTCACCTGTATGTTGCAAAAACGTTTCAATGAAACATAAAAAGGGCCGGACATTAGCGGTTTCAGACACGTGTCAACTATGTTTCAAATATTTGTCGAAGAAACATTTCACGTTTCAATAATATGTATCAGAAACGTTTCTGTAACGCAAATTTGTTTACTGGGTCTTTCCACACTTCTCACAGGACACTACTAGTTTGAATTCCAAACCGCGCTTGCCACTTTCAGTAAACTTCACTTCCGATGGGCATACTTTACAAACGACAACGTTCGAAATAGCCGAAAATACTGCAATAATGTTTATGATACGATAACCAAACGCTTGATTCACTTCTATATCATACAGATCTTTCGATTGCTTCATTTTTTTTGTCGATGTACTTGCATTCAAGTCATCTGGTGCTTCTAACACATTGATTCGCCAATGGTCTTCTTCGAGATGCTTTTGGTCTCTTGCTGTTGCCAGATGCCGTTTTTCCTCCTTTCTTCCCACTGTACACCACTTTGTCAAAACAAATCAATAATTACACAGGGAAAAATAAATCGAGAAAAACGTGCAAATGCTTGACTGTGCCTTACTGACTGATTGTATTCAAAAGACATGAATGTGGACGGTGTAAATGACTGTTTTTGTTCCTTAGCAACTTTCTTCCTACCTACTGAAGTTATAAATCTGAGTCTGAATAATGAATACCTTAAAATTTTGGGCAAGCATTAGATATAATGGAATAGTACTGATCTGGAATAAAGATGAAGTCATGTTTTTTTATTTTCCTTTTAGTGACACCAAAGTCCTGGTCGTTTAGTAAAAAAGAGTGGCCCCGAAATGGAAAGTAATGCTTAATTTTACGAAAACGTTGGTTGTCTGTTAAAATCTTATGACATTGAATGGTTTTTGTTCTATCCAGGGCAATTATCGGGGCACAAAAATAATTCCTGTGTATTTCTTTCGAAAAATTGTCGATGTAGTGCAGCAACATTGAACATATTTCATTACTTCCCTTGTTTGTCTTATTCATTTTCAAGTTTTTTACACCGAAACAGTTGACCCAAAGCTGTCGCAAGTTTTGCATAAAATCAAAAGTAATTTTCGTATTTCTGATATCTTGTTGTGGAACTTCTTGGCTCTCCTTTTGTGTACAGTTAACTCGGCTTCAGCGGCCTTTTTAGCGTAATCGCCTAACCGTGGACTTTTTATTTTGACAGTTGTAATACAAGTAGCGAAAAATTGTCCTTAAAATATTCGGCATAACATTGATATTTCACGTTTAATTACATATTTCGCCCAGAATAATGCGTTTGCTTTCTTGGAAAAGACAAAATGTGGCCGCGAATTTTTTTAAGTACTTTGGAAGGCATCGTATTTGTTTTTGGATGCTTACCACGCATATCACGTGGTGTAAGAGTCTGTGATTGTAAGATTGTAGAATGTGTTGAAAATACTTTAATAAAATAAGAAATTGCTAGATGGGCGGAACCCCTCGTTTAAAATTTAACTTTTATGTTTTAGATTCAACGTTATTTATGCCAAATATTATGTCAACTCCTGCTCCATACTCCAACATTCAAAATATGCAAAATCAAAATTTGTCTTATTCTTCATACAATCCCCAATTTCAAAATGTTGGGATCTCCCCGAATACAAGTCAATTTGAGCCGTTTCAATACTCGTCGAAACACAACGGTTTATATTTTTATTTAGAAAGGATTTTAAGGCCGATTTGGAACATGTTGTGTGTTGAGAAAAACGTGGCACAAAATATTAAAAAAGTTTATGTGAGATTTACAACATTAATTGTTAGTTAAAAATTATTTTTTTTTTATTTTTATAGCTTTCTAGTACAATAACATCAACTGACTGTATATTAACGTTGAGCCATTTAAATTCTTTAAGAAATTTCGTTATGAAAAACACTCAATTATCAACATATAACAATCAAAATAGCCGTAATAATAATCCGAATCAAACGGATCAAACGATAAATCCAGTTAATGTTACGCAAAACTATACCTTATACGATGCGCAAATGGACGAAAAACATTCTTTGGATGCTTTTAAAACTTTTATAAATCACGCTTGTCAAGTTGTTGGGTTGTGGAAAATTTTATGCGAACATCAATTTCACATCTTAGCGGAATCCCTTCCTGAACAGCACAAACAAATGCTTCAAAACGCCGTTTTTAAAGATTTAATTTTATTTGGTAAAGATTTATGTTCTATGTTTATTACGATTTTGGTTAACAGTTATCTTGGTGATAACGCTTCCGTTGATTCAATTAGTATAAAATTAAGAGATATTTGCCCGGATTTGTATAAAATGGAGGATGCGACAATATCAAAAGTAAAATTATTAATTTTATAGATTTTATCTTACCAATTTTCTTTTTAGGCTAATGAAATATTAAAAAGTGCAAGAAATTTACAAAACATTGATGAAAAAGAAGATTTAATAGTTTCAGCTTTAGATTTGTGTAAATCAGTTGTTCCAGATATAAATTTAAGCGATATTTGCCATCAATTCATCGGGTTAAAGGCTTACAACGCAGTGATTGAGCTTTGCGTTTTATGCGCAAATAAAATAGATCAAAAAAACATCGCGGGACATTTTTATAAAAATAGCGAACAAGGCGATCAAGAAGGATATCGTTTTTACACCAAGCGAATGGAAATTTATCAATACGTTATAAATATGTTAAATTCGATTTTCGTACCGCAAGATTCCATTAATCAAACGTTGGCTAATACGAGTGGAATTCAAAATGTTAGTGGGGTTCAAGAGGAAACTCACGTGTTATTACACAAAATAATCGATGAAATTCTTCAATATTCAGACGAATTACTTCATGTTGCTATATACGAGTGGATGATAAGTAAAAATATGACCGATGATATTATCAACGTTAAAAACACCTCTTTGGAAACTTATTTGCAAAAAGTTGCGCAAGAAAGTCCAAACAATATTAATGTTTATGATTTACTTTGGAAATACTATGAAAATAATAATAATCATACTTCAGCGGCAAAAATTTTAAATTCTTTAGCATCAAAACCAGGGTAAGCAAAACGAAATTAATCTTATTAACGATTTATAATCTATTTTATGCTTTAAGGAATTTATTGTCATTACAAGACCGAATGAGTTATTTAGCTCGTGCTGTAATGTGTATGCGTAGCGATAAAGTCGGTTATGTTCCATATTTGGGAGTATTTTTGCGTGAATTAGAGGATAAAATAGATATAGCAAAAGTACAAGAACAAATATTGGACGCAATGACGAATTTGAAAAATTCCATTCCGAATGCTGAAGATGCAATTATTGCTTTAAACTCGGGTTTATATGAAATTACTCAGGTAAGGTTATTTATTAACCCAAAAAGTTAAAATGCTCAGACATTTGCGATTCCCCAAAAGTGTTAAAGCTTCTTTTGCACGTTGCTGTTGATGCTGGTCCACTATGCAGTGGGTGAGATCTCCAATGAAGTTTCTCACAAAAACTGCGTAGCAAATAACCTGTCCTTTGCCTGAAAATTTGCAAGATCAGTTAACACCAGCTTTTCATCAGTAGCTTACTTTGTCGTGCGTTTTAGTTCTAAATTCCGTGGAGTTCATATACTTTGTCCTACATTTTATTTTTTTGTGATCAAACTAACAATTTTAGGAGAAAATGTCAAGGGACAAAAAGTTGCGTATTGAGTTCTTCTATTTCAATTAAGTTTTTAAATAGAAAAATGTAGACGCATTAAAAAGTTTTGATGCAAAATATTATAAGGGTTGATTTTTACCCTGGTAATCGTGAAAAAGTGTCATTTTATTAGCAACACTTATCTGTCAAATTTTATTATTTAAATTTTATTAGTATTATTTTATAAATTTGGACTTGTACAATTTCACAATAGTTCGTTTTTTTTCTATAATATTTGTCAATGTAAATTTTTTAGGGTTTCTGTTGGTATTATCTAGGACCCTTATAAAATTTATGTTGTTTTCCCGATTTTTAGTAACATTATCGGTAACTAAATAGTTGAGGTTAAAATACTAATAAATTTTTAGATAAATACGATTTTAACGAAGTACATATTTATTATAAAAACGTGCTACAAAGTAATTAAATAGAACACAACATTTTTTGTCCACGACTACCTTATAATATATACCTTATGAATGAGTTTTCTAAAACAAAATGGTAGTCATTTTTCACGGAGTGAATAATAGCGGTGAATAATAATCATTATTCACGGGTAGCCATCTTGACCAGACTAATAATAATTATTTGAAACGTTAAAAGTTCAAAAAACGTCAATTTAATTCAATTTTTTAGGAGTTTCTAAATGTTTGACATTAAAAAAACCTAAACAAATTCGTTTTTTCGTATGATTTAAGCATAAATTAATTAATTTTCGTAAAGAAAACGACGTTTTATAAAACTGACACTTAATTTTGACAAATTGTTGTGAAGTTGGTTACAGTTAGTAACATTGAATTTGTGTCACATTGACGTTTAACCTTTATTCAAAAATTTATTTAAAAAATAAATTTATGGAATCAATTTCAATAGTCGTGGACAAAGTATAGTATTCTACTCGCATATAATTAGCTATTATTCACTCAGGTTAATTATGCCACTCGCTACGCTCGTGACATAAACTTAACCTTCGTGAATAATAGCCCTCATTATATGCTCATATAATAATATACTATTATCTACGACTGCTTGGATAAGTCATCATTACGCACTCATTTGAGGTGATTTGAGTTACGTAATGAAGTTCATTACGAAGTTATTATTATGAAGTTCAGCCTAATCAGAACAGACTTAATTTATTGAAACGAGCAACAGTACAAAAGATAACGTGCTATCTACTTACAGAGAAGCAATACTATTTATTATAAACATTAATTGTTATGTTGTTACATTTCGAAACACTTATTTCAGATGAGTAAACATGTTGTTGAAACTGACAATTCAAAATTGTCAACAATCATTTCAAAATATTTTTATAAATGACTTTTTTAAAGAAATTGATTTTTTAATAATTTTTAGCAGTCGTAGATAAAATGCTGTATATCACACGTGGGCTAGAGCATAATTACAGTACTCGTGTGATTACACGACTCGGTCTACGACCTCGTCGTGCAATTCTTCACACTCGTACAGTAATTATGTTTCTAGCCCACTTGTAATATAAATAACTATTATGCACCTTTTTTTTTTGAATAACGAAAGCTCAAACGTCAGTGTTACATATCTATTTCAAAAGATGATAAAACAAAACTCCCTGTTAATTTTGCCAACTTTACAATAATTTGACAGGTATTATAGAAAAAAAAAGAACTATAGGTGGCTTCTCCCAGCTGTCACCACAAAATCGGTCTTTTTTCGACGTTTTCCATCACATTTGCGAGTGTTTCGGGCATTATTTTGGCGAATTCCTGGCGTATGTTAGCCTTAAGTTGCTCGAGAGTGTCTGACTTGTTGACATAAACCTTGCTCTTAAGGTATCGCGACAGGAAAAAGTCAGGAGGCGTTCAATCAGGCGAATGCGCCGGTCAGTCGTTTTTGCTGGAACCAGCGTCCTCCATGTTATTTGCTTCAAGTCGCGTAACATGGCCTGATATCGCTCGCCATTGACTGTCACCGTCGCGCCGTTGTCACGCTCTTGAATATCGGTACTTACAGCAGCTATAGCGTCATCATTACGACGTGTAGGGATCTTACTTTTGGGCTTCGATGTAGCCAAAGAATCACTGGCATTGAATTTCACTACTAAACTTCGAATTGTCTAACAGAGGACCTTTTTTGGAAATAAAATTTCACCATTTCTGCACGTTCCTTAGGTGTATAGCGAATCATGGTTAAAATTGTACTACAAGGATGTTTGCAATGCGCCATCAAACTTGGCGATTTGACTGACAACTAGATGTCAAGTTATTCAAAAGAAACATTGGTTACAACAAAATGGTACACCTGTATCAGTGACTTTTATGTTGCTGCATCTCGTTCATCAATTATTATCTATGCTAGGTTCAATCGACTGATTTAATGCTATTCTGATTGTGGCATCAAAGCTTTCAAGACGGTTTCTGTACTTATTCTTAATAGCAGCAAGAGCTGAACAGCCACTTTCTCCTAAATATGTTGTTGCGAATGGTAGTTAACATTCCATGGCCTTTTCAAATAATATTGGGTATTCGTTTCGTATTTGATTCCAAAATTTTACTACATTTTTTTGACTAATGAATTACGCGTGAAGTAATCTATAACACGACAGATCCATTAGTTTTCCTTGTCTGACGAACACAAAAAATTACCTTCGTCTTTTAAAAATGGTTTTGTATCCACACATTGCCTATGCGGATGTCGTTATCAGAAGGAAAATAACTAAGAAATCTTTCTTAGGCCCACTACTACCACTCATAGTTAAAGTCTCTGATAGCGTTATCTATCGGATAGCTTAAAAATTGGTTACTACCACTGTATTTATCTTATAGATACCGCTATCCAAGGGATAACTTTTAAAATATCTGTAACCCGTGGATTGGGTATCGGATAAGTTGCTATCTAAGGGATAAATGCGGATACCTAACCTCAAATAGGATTTATGCTGACGTACAAAATTCGAGCGTTTTACTATTTTAGTTTTTAGTTTTTCACTAAAAATAAATAGTAGTAATAATGTAAATAAATTTTTATTTTCTTAAATTACTTTTTTTTACAAGGGAATTGGAAATGGAAAAAATACAAGGGAATTGATAGCTGAACGTTGTGTATTTTTTTATAAAGTTTAGTTATCAATTCTCTTGTATTTTTTTCATCGCAAGCCTGTTTAATTAGATAATCAGATTAATTCTAATTTTAAAGTAATGCTGCTTGCTATCTTTTTATTTTTATTTCTAATTGTAAGTCCAGCAATTCCATTTTCTTTTCATGCTCTTCTTTCGCTTGTTTAATAAGCAATTCAGTTAATTCCAGTCTCTTTTTATTCAAGTGGTTATATCCGTCATGGATAGATTTGTTTGCGGTTTCTGTAAACAAGTATACATATGTATTAAAGTAATATTACATACAAGAATCTAACTTACTTGGCTTTGAACCCACATCCAACACACGACATTTCCTTTTCCTAAGGTTTTGTGGGTTCCATGTGGTCCAATTGTTGTTAACTTCTGTTGGTTTATGTAATTCAACTGATTAGGACCACCACCAGTTCTCATCGCGTTTTTTCGAATTTGAGCACATTTACTTCTCACTTGTTTCTTTAACATATCATACTTGGCTTTAACGCCTTTTGCATCCCGGCAAATCCTACTTACCGCCGTTAGTCCGCGGGCTATTTCTATCCAGATCTTTCAAAAGAATTGACATAAATATATTGTTTACCATCACATTTTAACATAAAATAATCGTATGTTAAAAGTGATACAATACTGCATCACTTTTTTTGTTTTCTATTACGTTTTTATGTTTGCTAACAAATTCAACAAGATGTTCGCATTCTTAGAGACCCTGTTATCTACGAGATAAATTGTATCTTATAGATAGCTTAACTAATAGATAGCATTGGTTTGGTAGTAACGGGCCTAAGGCTCCTTTACTACCATCTTCTGGTTAAGCTATCTAAGGGATTATTACCACGGTTACGGCTATTTTATGCGTTCTGATTGGCTAGTAGATGGGTTTATCTATAAGATAAATTTAACTAAAAGATGGTAGTAATGGACCTTAGCCAATGAGAGCGCTTAAAACCGCTGTAACCATGGTAATTATCTATCGGTTAAATTTATCAAGAGGTGGTAAAAGTGGGCCTTAGCCAATGAGAGCGCTTAAAACCGCTGTAACCATGGTAATTATCTATCGGTTAAATTTATCAAGAGGTGGTAAAAGTGGGCCTTAATCTCCTTATCTTCAATTATTTGAAGATAAAATGGGAACATAATATCAAATTCTCCCTTCGACCTCTCCAAATATCAATTTGTTTGTAAAAGCTTCAACTTTGTTATTGTACGTGAATAGAGGTTAGTCATGCCCCCGTGCATTAATAATGTTAATTCGTTAACTAACGAAACAATATCAGCTAGGTAAGCAACCTTTGCAAGCCATACGTTGTTTTTGAAGTGTTCTGTTGGTGGTCAATTTTGGTCATTTAAGAGTATTTCCATTTCGGTTCTTAAGTCAAAAATCTTTTCAGTACCTTCCCTCTCGGAAGCCAGCATATATGTGAATGTAGTAATAAAACTCTGTGGTCTGTCCTATCTCTTCACAGAACAAAGCGAAAACTCGAGTCCGAACTGCGCTATTACGAATATGATTTACAATTTTCACACAGGATACCAACCGTTCACGATGAAGAATGCAGTGAGTTTTTGTTATATTTTTATGCGATAATTGCCCATTTTGCGTAACAACGCCTCTGTTGTTTCCTACCATCGCCGCTGCTCCATCCGTACATATACCTATACATTTATTCCAAGGTATGTGTTTAGACTCAAAGTATGAATTTATGGTAGCAAAAACTTCAAAAGATGTGTAAGATTATAGTAGTTCCTCCAACTCAAAATCAATATACCTTACGTATTCTATCAATATAGCATTACTTGAAACATCTGTGCATTCATCTAACTACAAGGCATAATATGGTGAATGTTCTAATTTTTCAATTAGTTGTAATTGCAGATCATTTGAAAAATTAAGTACTCGTCTGCTTATTGTTTCAGCAGACATTGGAATATTGTTAATTTGCACAGCATATTCTTCACCAAACACTATATACTTCTCCTATATTACACGCTTTTTTGGTCTTAGCAATATGCAATGCTACTAAATGAGAACATTTTAAATATTTCTGTCTGTTCCAAAATATTTAGTTAAACTTGAAGCCTTCAAGTCTTGCAGTTTTCTTTTAAAAAATTCTGATGGTTTATCCATGTATGCAACGTAATTAGTTTCTAAATGTCTTAAAAGTTTATTAAATTTTAAAGATGCGTTTGCTAATACAGTTCCACACACAACACATTGTGGTAAATCAATATTATCATGTTGTGTAGACCTAAAGCCGTAAATAATATGTTTTATCTTGGTATTTATAAAGAAATTTCTCCACTTTTCTCTTGTTTTTTTTTTAATGGTTCAGTCGGTTCGATTGTGTCAGTGGGAGTTTTTGTCCCAGTGTGTTGAACATTCTTCGTTGGAATATAATCAAATAGTGTGCTTTGCTTACTCACTTTCAGATTATAGGCTGTTACCTTTTGAGAAAAACTCTAAAATTATTAGTATACATCTCTATTAATATCTGACGATCAATATCTAGGTTTTTTCATTATGTAACAAAACTAGAATTAAATATAAAGTTAACCTGATTTGAAGTTTCGAGTGTATTTTAAGGAGATTAACACAAGACAAGTCACTTTTTTGCTCTACAAGTCGCTGCAGTATTAAGTAGGTGCTACTCCACCTGATTTCTATGTCTTGCAGCAAACAATGAATCAGAAGTCTACGCTGACTTTGACAATCGGTCAATTTTCTGGATGTCTGCTCGCTTCGACGAAAATTGTTTACAATTTTTCTACAGTTATGTACTAAAATTTTGTTTCGCTCATTTTGAAACAAAACATCTTTTATGACTAATTGCAGAGTATGCTCCACACAACCTAGGGATTGATATTGCGTTCTCATAGCACATACTATATTGGCTGCATTATCACGTATAATTAGGAACAGCTTCTTGCTAATATTCCAGTCGTTCACCATTTCAGTTATTTTTTGTTCAATATATGCGTCGGTATGGGCCTCATCTAATACTGTTGCGCCTAATATCACTTTCAATCTCTGAGAACCTATAACAAAATGTCCTGTAAACCTTAATAAAAAGCAGGTTTTACTTGGATTTGACCATATATCTGTAGTGGCACTTATCCATGTACATTTATCAACCAACATTCATGACCTTGGTGTTTATAAGCAGCAATTTCTATCATTATAAACGATTGTTAATTCACGATCATAAACATTCATTTCAAATTGAAGATTCAGTAGTGTAAAAAAATTGGAAGACAAAATTTTTTAAGGTAATAATTTAGTTCTTGAATTTTCATTATTGATGTTGTAACAACTAACAAATGTAATTATAAATACGTATCATCATTAGATTAAACAAAACTTATTATGAAATAATTGTTGAAAATCAAATACGCCATTTTATACGTTTGGTTCGCTCTTAACAAAAGTAACAAAAAATGAGATATTCAATCCAGCCAAATTGTTGTTAAAAATAAAAATAATTGTCACAGGAAGCGATTTAGTTATATCACCTAAGAAGAAAACTAATATTTTATATATATGTATCACCTAATTTAGATAAACAAGACGAAAGCCTCCGAAGATGGCGTAGATCGCCGAAACGCATCAGGCGTATTTATTATCAGTTTAATAATAAATACCAATAAAGCAAAAATATCTGTTATTAATTATTTCATGTGTATATTGGTAAGAAGGATCTACACCATGTAAAACTTATTATATTTTCAATAATCAATGCCGTGACAGTCTACACTGTATCAAATTAATAAACTAAATTATTTTAAATAATAAACGTACCTGCTATTCTCTTCTGTTCTGCTCACGTTATAGTGTCAGATTATTCAGGGGGACTCGGCACGTATTCTCATGAAACACGTGTGTCGAGGAAAGTCGACGCCGTCGACAGTTTATTCGTAAAATCACGAATAAACCAAGGGCGGTAGTTCTAGTTTTAATTGTTATTAAATGTTAGATTGTTGTCGAAGGCGCGTTCGCGACGTCAGCGCTGAATAACAATTAAAACTAGAACTAACACTAGACCTAGAACAAGAAACATTTAGGTTTAGCCGTCTTAAGAGACGTTCGGCTAAACCCGAACGTTTCTAGTTGTAACTCTAGTGTTAGTTCTAATGCTAGTGTTAATTCTAGTTTTAATTGTTATTCAGCGTTAGACATAGAACTAGAATCATTCGGGTTGAGAGATACGTCTTTTAAGACTGCTAAACCCGAATGTTTCTAGGTCTAGTATTAGTTCTAGTTTGAATTGTATCGAGTTTTTACTGTAATTGCTTTTTTATTCCCTTAGTTGTATGAAAATTTCGCCGAACCTTTTCATTTATGGGAATCGAAATTGGCGATTATCGACTGCGCTGGTTATTCTGATCCAAAATTTGTGGAAGAAATTTGGAATCATATAATTGAAGATGAGGTACAAAAGTATTCGGGTTCAGGAAATGATCGTATGATTCAGATTTTATCAAAAATTAAAATATTGGCCAGACAATACAAATTATCGAGTAATTGTTTTCCTCTTCGTAAGTTTCTGTTGTTAACTAATTTCTTTAAGTAATTTTTTAATCATTTTAGAACATATAATTTTAAATTTAGAAATGATTAGTGCGCAATTAAAAACTGATTCGGCTCTAGTGGCAAATTTATTTCTTTCAATCGAAATTCCAATTGAAATGCTAATCAACATATACAATCGGTAAAAAAAATTTATAGTATAAATTAAAAAAAATCTATTATTTTTTTCTTTTTTAGATTAATAACAACAACAGTAACCGAACGGTTTTGGACTTCAGAAGAAAATGAGTTCCATTTTTATTATGTTATTGCAGTTTTAATGAATGCTTTTCTAAGAACGCATCAATCTTATAATAGTGTGGATAAGTAAGTTATTTTTAAGACCAAAAACGATTGTATTAATTTCCTTTTTTTAGGAGAAAGCTTATTGCGTTATGTCAAGACACCACCGCTACAATTTTGTCAAATTTATACAGCAAGCCAAACACTGAAAGATTAATCAATATTTTAAAAGGGATACAAGCCCAATTATCGCGTTTATGATCCCATTATTATTAATTTCTATTTGTTTACATAGGGCTTCTTATAGATAATAAAAATAACTTTTACAATATTAATAAATTTCATTACATTCAGTTCATTTCCCCATACTAATCCGTTATATCAAGGTTTTATTGTAATTACTAAAATATTGAAAAGCAAAGTTAAACGGAAATGTAATTTTTTGTCATACAGAAAAATATGTTTAACATATTTAAAAAACAATTTCGATTTAAAGTAAATAAAATCAAGCGGAAACCAAAAAAAAAAAAGAAAAAGTCGGATATCAACATTTTAGATCATCATAACAACAATACTTAGCCATGTTGATAAAAATGAGAATGCTTTCAAAGATGCTAAACTTACTTATCATTTTTATTTTGGTTATTTCACCCAAAATTGATGGTAAAAGTGTAAGTTAAACATCAAAATCGTCCCAATTTCTCTTAATTATAACTTATTTTATTAGAAAATACAACTTTACATCAACGAAATCAAAACTTGCCCTGGTTTCAGTAAAGCTCCAATTCAACTGAAAAGTGTGAAAATAATTAACGACGCCCACAAAAATTTTTTGGTTAGTTATCGAGTCGATGTGACTAGAAACATCTCTGAAGATGCAAATTTAAGGCTGAGCTTAGAACGATGCGCCTCAAAAGAAGCCCCGGATACATGTACTAAATTTACAAGTTTGTACACGAAGAATGCTTGTAAACTTTGTAACGCAGCTAATACTTTTTTCGCCCCTTTTGTATCATGTTTAAAACCTCCATTAAATTGTCCAATTATTAAAGTAAGTTATTTCTTTAAATACAAGGTGTATCAGGTATGAGTAGAAAAAAATTTGAAAGGTTATAGGCCCCCTTTTTGTGAATAAAAAATTCTTATAACACAATGTTCCATTCTTAAGATATGATACGATAAAGTTAAGGGTTTGAAAGTTTAAGTACTGCTGTATGAAGAATTCTAAGCATTTCCTTATGTACATATATAGCTTTAATTTAACACATAAAAGTCATTTTTGAGATATTTTTTTAGAGGTTGTCTACTTTATTAAATTATCACTTCTGTTTTATCGCTCTTCAATGTGAAAATTTACAAAAATTTTGGTTTTAATAAATAAACTTGCTTATTGTATTAAAAACAACAAAATTACAAAATTAGAAACAAATTGCAAAGGACAAAGAATGGGACATTGTGTTATAAGATCTTTTTATTCAGAAAGAGGAACCCCTCAAATTTTTTCTACTCATACTTGATGCACCCTGAATAATGATTAGATAAGAATTGTTAAAAAAAATTACAGAGAACTTTCCGTGGAGAAAATTGTACCTTTAATATGGATTTGTTTCGAATGTTTCCTATAACGGGGTTTCATTGGAAATTCAAATTTGAATTATTTCACTCAATTACAAATGAATGCATATTTTGTTGTCAGGGGGAAGCTGGAATTTATAATTTGTATATTAATTGAGTTGTAATAATAAATTTATTATAAAATATAACAAAATAAGTATTTATAAGCGCTATTTTTTACGTATACATTAATTTACGACGTGGGGAACACATACAAAGTGCAGCATGACATGGGGCGCACATACAGGGTGTTTCATGAGGAATGGTATATACTTTATAATAAAAATGGAAAAAGTAAAAGCTTTTTCTGAGAAATAACAAAATACTTAATTTATTTCAATATACACTCAGTTCCAAAAAAAGTGACGCACTTGATTTTTGACCTAATCTTAATATCTTATATTTTTTAAACCAGTGGGCCGATTTTTATTATTTTTTTATTTTTTGGTAGCCAATTCCTTTGTCTTAAAAAAAAATTAAAAAGGTGGAAATTTTTTCAATGACTCCTGGATGGTAGTGGAAAAACTGGAACCATGTTTTTTTCCTAATTTTTGACTCACCCTGTGTATTAATCAAGTAATGGTATAAAAAGTGCTTACACCCTATATGAAAGACGTTTCTTTTATGAGCATTTTGTTTTTTTATTCATTAATTTATCTCTAAAATTGTCCGAATTGAAGCTTTTTTGTTGAAACCTTGCATATTGCCAACTTTCTGAATTTATGGAAAAACAGTTTTCTAGTGAAATAAACTGATACGAATTTTTAAAAAAGTTTTATTAAACACTAAATTATAAACTGGGATAACTGCTTAATACCGTGTATTGCCTCCCCTAGCAACTCTAAGAGTTTCTAATCTAAGCGGCATACTGGAAATCAGGTTTCTTATCGTTTCCATTGGTATACGATCCCATTCTTCCACTAACGCATCTGCTATTTCTGCGAGGCATTCCTGAGGCCTCTCGCGAGAACGTACCCTTCTCCCTAATTCATCCCACAAATGTTCGATAGGGTTCATATCGGGGCTTCTCGCAGGCCACTGTAATGTGGTGATACCCGTAGCTTCTAAGAAGTTTCGCACTATTACTGCGGTGTGTGGTCGGGCATTATCCTGCATCAATATAAAATTATTGCCCACTAACTCTGCATGAGGTAAGATATACTGTTGTATAATGTCAATGTAAATTTGGGCCGTCATCGACCGCCTCACCGGAAAAACATGAAGGGGTGTCTTTCCATTCATTGACATCCCTCCCCACACCATAACCGACCCACCATTAAAACTTTCGCGTTCTGTTATTAAATTCTGATTAAACCTTTCACCAGTCCTTCTCCACACTCTTTTTCTTCCATCCACCATGTTAAGGCAAAACCTTGACTCGTCCGTAAACAAGACATTCGACCATTCAGGAATATTCCATTCTCCATAATTTTGAACAAAATTTCTTCTAGCAGCACGATGTTCGGGCAATAATTTAGGACCTTTTGCAGGTCTCCTAGCTTTTAAATTAACTTCTTTTAGACGTCTACATACCGTCTGCTTACTTATTGCAACAGCACGAATTTGGCGAAGATCTTGTTGAACATTTACTGCAGTGTTTGATCGATTCCGTAAAATCCGCAATCTCAAGAAACGATCATCTCTTGGAGACGTTTTTCTAGGACGACCAGAACCCACCTTCCGAGCAGTGCTTCCTGTTTGTTCGTACTTGCGGATTGCTCTACGAGCAGTTGCTTCATGGACTCCCACTGCACGATCGTTTACTAAAGCAATTAATCTTGCTACTTGTTCTGGATTTATTTGAGGCATTTCATGTAATTTTAATCACTACAAAACTTTTTTGTAGTTAATTAATGACACAACGACAAATTAATTGCTATGGCAACGTCAATTGTTTGACAATGTGATCATACTTCTTAAATCTGTGGGATAAACGTAAGGTTTCAACAAAAAAGCTTCAATTCGGACAATTTTAGAGATAAATTAATGAATAAAAAAACAAAATGCTCATAAAAGAAACGTCTTTCATATAGGGTGTAAGCACTTTTNTTGGTGTAAATGTGATTAGTTAAGGAAAAAAGTTGAGATTCTAAGTTAGAAACGTAAAAATCGGCTAGAAGGTCAGAAAGGGGTGAACCCATGGGTAAACATCGGGTATTTCATAAAAATGGTCATTAAATATGAAAAAATTTTGATCAGTTACAATTTTAAGTATATTTATTAAGTTGTTTACATCATTGTTAGTTATATTAATTGAAAAGTTATTGTTGATTTCAATTTTGTTGTTAGTGAGAAAATTTTTTATGATTTTTAAGGTTTCTTTAATAGGGACATTAGTGTATAAATTTTTTATGTCAAGGGAAATGAGTTTAGTATTTTTGTTGATTTTTACGTTACTGAACTTAGAAATTAGTTCAGAAGAGTTTTTTATAGAGTAAATAGATTTAAAATTAAAGGAATTAGTTAGAATGTTGTGTAGAGTTTTAGAGATAAGGTGGCAAGGAGAGTTAATGCCGCTAACTATGGGTCTGATGGGATGGTCATTCTTGTGTAATTTTATTAAACTATGTAATGTGGGATGTAGGGAGGGTTCATGGGCATGTGTTTTTTGGTTGAGGGAGAAAATTTGTTTAAGGTATTGGAAGATTTTTTTATTATATTCTTTAGTTTATTAGTAAAAGAAGGAAGAGGGTCTTTTTGGAGTATAGTGATATTATTCTCATTAAAGAAAGTTAAGGTTTTGGAGATATATTCCGTTTTATTAAGTAAAACTAGGCCAGCGTTTTTGTCAGCAGGTGTACAGATTATGTTATGTTTAAGAAGGTATCATTGTCGTTCCGTTTAGCCTTTGTTAATTTTATCCTTTTTCTCTTAAAACAGGTACTGAAGATGAAACATTTGTTTCGAAACATGTCTATTTATTGAAATAAATTAAGTATTTTGTTATTTCTCACAAAAAGTTTTTACTTTTTCCATTTTTATTATTTAATTCTTGAGAAATATGGAGAATTTCATCCCTTTGGTATATACTTTAATATATTATAGATTTGTTCATTTTAAGCAGAAAAGTTCTTAATAAATATGTGCTCAATTCTCAAAGGTAACTGATATCCAGCCAGTTAATGCATAAATTGATATCACGCACGGCTATTGTGAAACAGTCATTTGTCAATGTTTAACATTTAACATTATCTGGTTGACGTGTCGATTAGCTTGTTGATAATGCCACACATATTGACTCATGCAAAATATGCAGATATGGTGTTTTGTTACGGTTTTTACAATGGAAATGCACGTGATACTCGTCGTGACTATAGGAGACGATTTCCTAACCGAGATACCAGATTCAAGAGCATTTACTCGCACATTCAACAGATTACATGAAACCGGTGCTGTTCCAAGTACAAGTATTAATTCTCACCGTGCAGGTGTGCAAACTCTGAATGAAGTTGAACAAATTCTTCAGCCGGTAGAACGCAGTCCATCTACTAGTACAAGAAGACTTTCTGCTCGTCTTGGTGTTCCTCATGTAAAAGTATGGAGAACATTGCGTACTCATGGCTTGTATACATTCCATGTTCAACCAGTACAACACCTTGAACCAACACACCAAAAGATGAAAAAATATTTTCTTGTACCTGCACCATGTCTGATTTGTCAACAGATCTCATTTTCAAGTATACAACTTGGATTTGAATTCTGTCTCCTGTACGATGGTCAATTTTTCCAGTATCCCACTTCTGCTCTAAAGCAACTTGTCAGCACGCGAACCTCACGTTTATTTATGACCTGTCCTGATTGTAGTTTTTGCGCAAGATTGAGCATATGTTTCCTGGACTGTCCCACAAGTATTTGTTTTGAAACCATGAAGATAAGAAAATAATGTTGGACTCGTATACCAGTGATTAAAAAATAGGGTATAACCTCTGTTCAAGTAGGGAGTCATTAGGGTCATGCCCAGATTTTCCAAGATATTCTACTCTAGTCGTTACCAGATTTGTAGTTGCGCAATCGCAAAGCATGAAAAATTTTATTCCAAATCGATGTCGCTTCGATGGGATGTATTGTTTAAAGAAAACTCTGCCCTTGTATAATATGAGGCTTTCAGCAATACATAACTTTTAGAAGGGATAAAAACAATTTTTGAACGTTATTGTCAAGTGATCAATAACACTAGTTTACAAATTTTAATCAATTTTTTCCTCGAAGACTGCGATATTTTTTTAAACCGTAGAATGTTGTGCTGATTCTGAAGCTGTCTTCAGTTTTTCTCCATCGCGTCCAGTTTTCGAGATATACCCAAAAATGTGGAAAATCGTAAATTAAAAAACAGCAATGGTTCATGTTCAGTATATTTTTTATTTTGCATAGTGTGCTTCTGTAAGTATATGGACATGAAAGCAGAGATCCTGACAAACATTTTGAGGTATTGATGGCATAAATCCGACTCTCCGTTATTTTGCTACAGCCTAAAACAACGCAACAAAATCAAATTTTTTGGCATTTTCCCATTTTTTATCACTTAATCGCGCCGTAACGAAAAAGAATTATACATGAACAAAAAAGTTAGCTATTCTATCTTGTAGAACATTTAATTCTCTAAATTTCGAAGCATTAGACACCATGGTCGTATGTAGTTTACCGGAGATATCGTTAATTTACGACAATCGTACAATATTTTTTTTTGCCATTTTCGCTGTGTTATTGAAACATTATTACGAACATTTTTTTTTAATAAAGAGGTGTTTTAATTCCTCNTTCAGTCGGTAGAACGCAGTCCATCTACTAGTACAAGAAGACTTTCTGCTCGTCTTGGTGTTCCTTATGTAAAAGTATGGAGAACATTGCGTACTCATGGCTTGTATCCATTCCGTGTTCAACAGGTACAACACCTTGAACCAACTACATTTCATACTATTTCTGACACACTCAATTGATGAAAGAAGCATGTCTGATTTGTCAACAGATCCCATTTTCAAGTTATATTCAAGTATACAACTTGGATTTTGAATTCTGTCTTCGGTACGATGGTCAATTTTTCCAGTATCCCTCACTTCTGCTCTAAAGCAACTTGTCAGCATGCGAACCTCACGTTTATTTATGACCTGCCCTGACTGTAGTTTTTGCGCAAGATTGAGCATATGTTTCCTGGACTGTCCCACAAGTATTTGTTTTGAAACCATGAAGATAAGAAAATAATGTTGGACTCGTATACCAGTGATTAAAAAATAGGGTATAACCTCTGTTCAAGTAGGGAGTCATTAGGGTCATGCCCAGATTTTCCAAGATATTCTACTCTAGTCGTTACCAGATTTGTAGTTGCGCAATCGCAAAGCATGAAAAATTTTATTCCAAATCGATGTCGCTTCGATGGGATGTATTGTTTAAAGAAAACTCTGCCCTTGTATAATATGAGGCTTTCAGCAATACATAACTTTTAGAAGGGATAAAAACAATTTTTGAACGTTATTGTCAAGTGATCAATAACACTAGTTTACAAATTTTAATCAATTTTTTCCTCGAAGATTGCGATATTTTTTTAAACCGTAGAATGTTGTGCTGATTCTGAAACTGTTTTCAGTTTTTCTCCATCACGTCCAGTTTTCGAGATATACCAAAAAATGTGGAAAATCGTAAATTTAAAAAAATAACAACGGTTCATGTTCAGTATATTTTTTATTTTGCATAGTGTGTTTCTGTAGCTATATGGACATGAAAGTAGAGATCCTGACGAATATTATGAGGTATTGATGGCATAAATCGGAGTCTTCGTTTTTTTGCTACAGCCTAAAACAACTCAACAAAATCAAATTTTTTGGCATTTTTCCCATTTTTTTATCACTTAATCGCACCGTAACGAAAAAGAATTATACATGAACAAAAAAGTTAGCTATTCTATCCTGTAGAACATTTAATTCTCTAAATTTCGAAGCATTAGACACTATGGTCGAATATATTTTACCGGAGATATCGTTAATTTACGACAATCGTACAAAATTTCATTTTTTGCCATTTTCACTGTATTATTGAAACATTATTACGAACAATTTTTTTAAATAAAGAGGTGTTTTGATTCTTCCAGGCACTAAGTATAAACATTAAATTCACTGAAATAAATATGATTATTTTTTAAATACAACAAACAAACTGTTAGACCTTTTTTGGCAAAAGAAATTCTGATTGTTAAAAAACAATCACTTTCTGTGAAAAAGTACTTTTAATAACTCCACTTCTTTATATATTAGAACCTTGTTTTGCTAAACAGTCTTTTTTTGAAATATTTTTTTATAAAAGGAGAATATATTGTCATAATATTTAGTTCTTCCTGAGACACCTCAGTGATCCTTCGTTTAAGAAAATAGCAAAGTGTTGTAAAAGTTTTGTGGATAATGGCTAGCAGCAGCAGAAGATTTGAATGCAAGAACAATCCTGATTTGTTCTTTTTTATTTGCGGACAATACATTATTGGGATGACTTTAGACAAACCCTGGATACCCAGCTTCGTATGTCCGAATTGCGGTATAACTTTGAATAGATGGATGGCAGGTGAATCTACATCTCATTTACAGTTTGGTATTCCAATGTTATGGTCACAAATATCAGATCATTCCGATTGCTATTTCTGTAACATAAACCTAGACGGCATAAACAAAAAACAAAGAAAAGTTTGGTTTATCCTAATGTAAGATCAGCCAAAAAGCCGATTCCTCACAGCGAAACTATACTAAGACCAAACCCTCCTGACCGATTAATGCAATCCAGTGAAAGATATCTCATCTAGCAGCGACTATGATGCCAAAATAAACCATAAACTGTCACAGAAAGAACTAAGTGACTTAGCTAGAGATCTGACGTTGTCGAAGATTGATATTATCCCGCTTACAGCAATGGAATTATTTACACCCTACAACCCGTGTAACTGTTTATCGAAACAGAGGCGAAGCATTTGTACAATTTTTTACGAAAGATCAAGGTATTTGTTATTGTAATAACGTGCAAAGATTGTTTGATGAATTGAAAATAGATCATAACCCAAGTGAATGGCGTCTTTTTATCGATAGCTCTAAAAACAGTGTTAAAACAGCTTTACTTTATAATGGAAACACACTACCAACTATTCCACTTGCTCATGCCGTCAATGTTAAAGAAATATATGTGCGCATATCAGAGGTTTCGACTCTAATTCGGTATAACGCATTTGAATGGAAAGTTTGTGCAGATTTAAAGGTAATTGCCTCAGTAAAGAAATTTACTAACTTCTACTTTTTAAGTATTGACTTACATTTCTATGATTTTCAGGTAATTGCTGTGGTTACTGGCTTACAAGGCGGTTTTACAAAATATTGCTGTTTTCTTTGTTTGTGGGACAGCCGAGCGAGAGAGCATCATTATGTGCGCAAAGATTGGCCTTCTAAAGAACATTACGATACTGGTGCTTTCAATGTCTTAAATAAGCCTCTGGTGAGACCAGCATCTGTAATATTGCCTGCACTACACATCAATCTGGGTTTGATGAAAAACTTTGTGAAAACGTTGAATCCAGAAGGCCCAGCATTTAGCTTACAACTATCGTACGCTAAACTAAAAGAAGGCATATTTTTTGGCCCCCAAATAAGAAAATTAATAAATGACAAAGAATTCATGTCAACATTAACAACAAAAGAAGCAACGGCGTGGATTAGCTTCAATCAAACCGTCCATGGATTTTTAGGAAACCATAAGGATGGGAATTATCGCGAAATAATTTCCAACTTATTGCACAATTACGATGCCATAAATGCAAATATGTCGCTCAAAATCCATTTTCTCCATTCGCACTTAGATTTTTTTCCAAGCAATCTTGGAGCGGAAAGTGACGAACAAGGCGAGCGGTTCCATCAAGACTTAATGACATTGGAAAGACGTTATGAAGGTTACTGGGATGCAGGGATGATGGGAGACTATCTCTGGAGTGTTATCAGAGAAATCGACCCAAAGACATACAAAAAATTGTCAAAAAATAATCATATCCCTCACTATACTAACAATAAGTAAAGTAGTATATATTAAACATAAAATTTAATTACATAAAAGTTCTGTAATATAATTTGTAATATAAACCTAGACAATATAAATAAAAAGACAAAGAAAAGTTTGGTATCGTTTGTAAGATCAGCCAAAAACCCGAGTGTGCATAGTGAAACTCTGCCAAAACCAAATCCTCCTGACCAATTAATACAATCCAGTAAAAGAGTAAAAAGAAGTTATAACAGTAAAAGTGACAGTGGAGAAATGTCATCCAGCAACGAATGCCAATAAATTTTAATTACTTCATATGTTTAATGTTCAACATTTAGAACAGGTAAAATAATATTGATTTCATTGAATTTAATGTTTATACTTACTGCCTGGGATAGTTAAAATACCTCTTTATTAAAAAAAATTGTTCGTAATAATATTTCAACAATACAGTGAAAATGGCAAAAAATGAAATTTTGCACGATCCTCGTAAATTAACAATATCTCCGGGAAAATACGTTCGACCATGGTGTCCAATGCTTCGATATTTAGAGAATTAACTGTTCTACAGGATAGAATAGCAAACTTTTTTGTACATATATAATTTTTTTTTGTTACGATGCGGTTGGTTAATTGACGAAAAATGGGAAAAATCCCAAAAAAATTGATTTTGTTGAGTTGTTTTAGGCTGTAGGAAAATAACGGAGTGTCCGATTTATGCCATCAATACCTCAAAATGTTCGTCCAGATCTCTACTTTCATGTCCATATAGCTACAGAATCACACTATGCAAAATAAAAAATATACTGAACATGATGTTTTTTAATTTACGATTTTCCACATTTTTGGGTATATCTCAAAAACTGGACGTGATGGAGAAAAACTGAAGACAGTTTCAGAATCAACACAACATTCTACGTTATAAGAAAATATCCCAGTCTTCGAGATTTTTTTTGTAAACTAGTGTAATTACTCTGATTATACGTAAAGTATCTCTTTTAGCTGGTTCGATATTATTATCTACGAAATACTACGAAAAATTTGCTGCCAAACAAAATTGTTTCGGGCAACTTTGGTAGGTGGTTCTGCCGGCACAACTTCATCAAAAATGTCTGCGCCGTCATTTTTTGACTGGGTGTCTTGAGCGTCGGTGTCAGTAGCATGCACTAATTGTCAGTAATACACGTATTACTTTTATAAAAATGAATCAAATTTTCTATTCCTACCTTCATTTGCTTTCTCGTCGGTATCGATCCATCCATCATCGCTCTGATCCTCTAAATGACCAATAAAGTTTTCTTGACTATCACTATTTTTCAATATTGCCAAAAGTTCCTTGCAAGTTAGCGGTTTAGATCGGCGATGCATTTTTACGCGTAAATATCAATAAATAACTCGAATGGTACTACGATACGTTCGCTTGCTGGCGAATATATTCGTCTTGAGCAGTTAAAACATGAGAGAATTCACTAACTCTGAGTGAGGGTAATGGACAGGCTTCGACTTGTCATAGACCGCAAGCAAGAATATCAGTTTCGAGCAGTTAACCATTAAAACAAGTTTGCGAGCGTAATCGTCTTGAGTAGCGTATCGTAATGCGAATATATGAAAGGATTAATACTACAGGCATTGCGTAGTTTTTCAAAGGAAAAGTTTTGCTTGGAAAAGGTGACGTCTTTATGATAACCCTGAATTTTCGGCTATCTTAACAGGTGCACGGCTAAACCCGAAAGTTTCTAGTTCTAGGTCTAGTGTTAATTCTACTTTTCGTTTAATAAAAATATACCACAATCTAATGCTAAATAAAAATTAAAACTAGAAATAACACTAGACCTAGTACTAGAAACATTCGGATCTGAAGATGCACGACTAAACCCTAACTAAAAAGTATCTAGTTCAAGGTCTAGTGTTAGTTCTAGTTTTAGTGCAATAAAAATATGCAACATAGTGATATCTTATGCTAACTAGCTTATGCTAACTACTGTCACTAGAACTAACGCTAGACCTAAAACTAGAAACATTCGGGTTTAGCCGTCTTAAGAGACGTGTGGCTAAACCCGAATAATTGTATTGGTCTCTGAATTGGTTTCTTCATTTGATAAGTTGTTTTTACTATACGGCTTCATTAAATTTGCTCTTAAGGGAAATGCATCGTCACCAATAATAACTGATTTGTCAGGGAAGCCTAACAACTTATTCTGAATGGCTATGTTTAAAGTTGAGTCTCGGAATATTGCACTATTGCTTGTACGTCCATTTCCTCCTATATCTATGTATCTGAAGCTGTAAGTTGCATCCACCACTCATCCACCATGGCGAATAAAATTATGCTGTATGTGCCCTTATAATTATAAAATGATGAACCGCTGTTTGGTGGGCATTTAATTTGAATGTGTTTACCATCAATTGCACCGCAACATCTAGGAAAATTCCAATATGCCATGAATTTTTTTTTCTATTTCTTTCCATTCATCACTTGCTGAGGGCACCTGAAAATATAATAAAAACGCTGATACTTGTTTCTTATTTCAAAGCATTATCTATTATTTTTAGGATATACAACCCACAGTGGACGAAAACAAAACGGATACAGAAGAAGGAGAATCAGATTTGAACACTGACAGGACAACATCGGGTGAACAATCCTATCCATCACAGAAAAGAGTTCTTCAAAAGAAGCCAAGCCAAAGAAAAACGATCATGCGTACAGGGTGCCCTTGAAGAATTTATGATATTGTTTCAAAAGTGAACAAACAGGATGCATTTGATGTTTTTGGACAGTATGTTGCCATAGAGCTTCGAGAATTACCTAGTAGGGAGGCAATAATACTACAACAACAAATATAGAATTTGATTACTAATACAAAACTTTCTAATCTGCTGTCTTCATCATGTATGCCATCATGTTCACCCTCTACATATGCTCAATCTGTAGTTTGCTCCACTCCACAACCATCACCCGATCCTGATAGTGTTATTACTGAAAATTATACATCTACTACAAATACCAAGAAAAGTACTGACTACGCCAATGTCCTTCCAAATACTGTTTGGAACAAAAAGAGTTCTGATGTGTTAGAGGAAGCCATGCAGAATAGTTTCCTTGATAGTACAGACAATGCAATTTATATGTCATTGTAATTGTTTTAAAAAAGAAGAGAAAAATAAACTTATTTACTGTTCATGACTAGTTTTATTTATCTCCTATTTCTTTAGGTAATAACTTTATTAGATTAACTAACCTTTAGGTAGGGTTTGAGAACATCTGATATTGCAGTTAGAACTTCCGGTAAAAATTTCGAAATTGTACATTCCGGGACTCGAAATAGATACTCCAAAGATTTAAAGCTGTCTCCAGTGGCTAAATAGCGTAGCGTTATTTCAAGTTTTACTCTTGTGGGAATAGCCAATCTCATTACCGTATTAGTTTTTTGGATTGGATCTTGTACCATTTGCAACAAATTATTAAAATTTGTAGTACTTATTCTTAGGCTATTTCTATAAGCTGTCGGATCTTCTTCAGCTAATTCTTTTAAAAGGGTACAAGAAGCACCTAATTTATCCCTGCGAGAAATCCATTCCCTCACCCATTTTCTTTTTCGTTTCTCGCAAATCGTGTTTTTTAATTCTTCTTGTAAAACGGCTCCAAGAACCAAGGCACATCCACGTAATACTTCTTTTGATATTTTAGGTGTCATTTTCACTATATATAACTGAACCAACCTTGAGATTACAACCGTCAGTATTATAAAATCTCTTCTACTCTGTACCTACTTTGCTCGCTGATATAATTACACGATACTTTTTTACTATCTAGATAGTAAAAAGGTGAGCTAGTAGCTAGTAAAGTTGACCGGTCTCCAACTTTACTCGCATACATATTTGCTAGCTAACTATCTGGATAGTTTACACGCCACCATAATTACACAGAACTACTTTACTAGCAGATAGTAAAAAAGTGCGCTAGTGGCGTGTAAATTATCTCCGTGTAATCGACCCTTAACATTAGATTTCCAACCAAGGTCGATAGAACATAAGGTATATTCCCTATGCCTCTGTAGTATCAATTATTACCCCGCAGATTGACGTCACTGGTTCGATACAGTCAGAGTAAAAGATAGCCTATACTGTGGTACAGTCTATATAAAATATTTAAACCTCGCATCGTGTTGTGTTGTTCATAGAACCAGCTACGTCACTGACCCACCTTGCCCCTCAGAGGAGGAAAATCGGCATTCGACACCTTATGTTCTATAGACCTTGACCTACAACCAGAAATATTCAGACATGTTGCATTTTATGTGGGACAAAGTAAGTAGGTACACCTGTAAGTAGGTATATTTCTGTATATTGTATTTTAAGTGAAATTCACTACAATATATAATTATTACAAACAAATTAAATTTTAATTTCATTGTAAGTATAATAAACAATAAATCTTGGAATAAATTCATCGCCGTAAAATTTAACATAAACCCTTCGATTTTCGGGAGTTACATCACCTCCATTGAGTGGTAATTCCGTGCAGTAACCTCCAACGTCAGCTTTTCCCACGAGAACATCAGCTATAATCATAGCACGATTTTTGCCAACATTCCAAGTGACGTTTTTATCCGCATACTCGGCATTCTCGGAAAAACTAACCCCCGTTTTCAACTTATAACAATGCATCCTCCTCCATTTCAAACTTGAACGCATAATCGCTTCAATATTTCTAACGTCAGTGACGTACATTAATCGTTTCTCGAAATTCTTGTAACCGCGTTTTTCGCGATTAGCCTTTTTCGATTTATAGCGTTCATAAAGCGATGGGCAATAAACTTTTTCGATTTTTTTTAAGCTCAATTTTTGAATTGAACTCAGGTAGTTAAGGCACACATGCTTGTACATAGGATCAGATTTTTTAATTTCAATTAAACGCGTTTTCATTAGTTTATCGGGGGTGGGAATGTAACAACGTAATATCTTTCCGCTTTTACGAGACCTTAAAAGAATAATACAAAATACTTGTAGGAATGAATTAACGATTTTTTTAAAATATTATTGTGGTGTGCTTACATTTTTGTTTATTGGAGCTTAAGGCACCTATTACAACTTGATTGTAACCGAATAAACTGAAATGAATTCCGCTAGGAAAGCAATAAAAGCAAAGTTTATCAACGTTTAGGTTTACGTTGCTTTGATAGGGAAGAGTGGGGAAGTCCCGAGGTTCGTATATATTACCAGGTTGTTTTGTCCTTTTCTTTCTTTAATATCGCGAATTACTTCGCACATATTGTGCTGCGAGGCGATATAAATGTTTGTATTTCTCATTGTGCGATAAGAGGCACATATTTCTTTATAGAATGGTATTTTTTGGATAGTAAAATAATTGCGATATTAGTTTACTAAATTACAGTACAATCTCGATATAACGAATTTCGTTAGAATGGACTTTGGATATAATTTTTCTTTAAACACACTTGGTCTTATTATTACTCATTCTACTGAATCTCTCTATGTAGTGATCATTTCTAGTGAACACTCTTGAGTTTTCCTGCTCAATTCCTTGTTCTCGTTCATTACCTATACATCATGGCGACGCTTTTTGTTATAGAAAAGCCCGGTTTCCTGAACTAAATGAGTACATTAACGAAATGGACTGAGAGTCAGAACTTGGTGGCTGTGATGGTATCAATGATGCGATTCAAATTTTTTATAACCATGTCAATACTGCTATATGTAAATTTGTCCCTTTAAAACTCAAAGCTACCTAATTCGAGAGAAAAGGAGGGCGCACTGTAAATGGAAACGTTTTGGCAACCGACTTGACTCCTCTCTTTTCCAATGTTTGGGAGTCGTGCAAAGTATCTAATCCATCTTAATTACATGGAGTGTGTTAGAAGAGCTGAAAGCAATATCAAATCTGACCCAAACGTGTTTTGGTCTTTTACTAAGTCCAAGAAGCGTGCGGATGTGATTCTTTCTACGATGTCAAGTAATGGTACTGTTGTCGGTGGCGGTGTTGGAGTATGCTCATTGTTAGCTGATTTCTTTTCTACGGTTTTTGTTGATCCTTCTCGAGCATAATGTGGATTATGTGAAAACGGATGCCCTTCCTTTGAATCAGCTGTAGTTTGAGAGGATTCAGGTTGAGGAGGTCCTGATGGGCGTCAGGGTTACTGTCAGTATTGGTACTGATGGTATGATGTTGAAAATATTAATGATTATTGTGTGAATTCTGTTGGTTATGCTGATGTGGATGATGATTTGCTCCCTTTTTATGGTACAAACATGCTGCACCCAACCTCCCATGAAAGATTTTCGTTTGGACTCAAAGAAACCCCTTCGATCACTAATGTTTTAAATAGCATTAAATCAACATCTTATGGTATAGACGAATTGAACATAATAATAATAATAATTTGGTTTTATTAATCAACAATAATTATACAAAAGCAATACGTAGGACGGAGTTAGGAATCAAGTTCCTCTCTACCACTTAACCCTACAAACAAAACAAAAAAAAAAATAAAATAGAAACATTAATAAAATAGAACAAAAGAAAAATTAAAATAAAAAAAGATGTTTACTAAATTAATAATATTAAACAAATCAAAATAAAAAAAACAAAGGAATATACAGGCTGTCCCGAATCTCAACGTCAGGCGGGCACCGGGTGAGAGGCCAACCCATACCTGTTCTGGTAAAAATAAGAAAAAAATTCTATGTCTCTTAGTTAAGTGGTATTAATAGACATATTTTTGAAAATGTTAAAAATCGTTCCCGTACATCATATCTTTACGTACTACGGTCAGAAATGTTCGCAATTGCCTTCCTAAATATTATAATCCGCTACCAGGCTGTTTGAAATCTCTAAATTTGAATGCGTTTAAGAAGAAATTGCGACAAATGTTAATGGATGAACAATCTGGCGTATAGTTGCTTAGTTTCGCATGCATATGTATGGCAATTAATATACAGAGTGTCCCGAAACTCAAAGTCAAGGGGGCACCGGGTGACCGGCCAACCCATACCTGTTCTGGTAAAAATGAGAAAAAAATTCCATGTCGCAATTTAATAGTGATATTTTTAATAATGTATTCCTTTTGAACCATGCTACTATAGCAGTCACAAATCGAACAACAAAAGTCGTTAGTTCTGCAAGAAAAGGTATTAGTTTGATTGAGTTAAGGTTGAAAGAATTTATGTCTATTAATAATAATAATAATAATAATAAACTTTATTGCCCAACAGCGCACCATATTAAGGGCAAAATACAAAAAATATACAAATTATTACAAATTGTACATCAATATAATTACAAGTGAAATTAAAATGCATATAATACATACCTAAATAATAATACAATCAAATAAAAGAGGCAAGAAAAGAGACAGAAAATGCAATGTTTATTCTAGCCTACAACTATCGTTCATGTTCGTGATCATATGTGTTATCGGCGCCCTTTTTTTGACATTTGTTCTGCATAAAGGTGGATAAAAATACAAATGGGACCGAGAATTTATGCGCGGCACCACTATATTCACTCGCGACAACAACCACGCACAGTCGATCTCACCACACATCAACTTTTGCAAGAACGAGGCACTTTGGACCATTCTTCTATCCTGCAGAGAAGGAAGCTTGTGGCGATGCAGTAGATCTAAGTAGTTCACTCCTTTAGGCGGATATTGACCATCCATACGATATGACAAAAATTTGAGAAATCGACGCTGGACTTTCTCAACCATTAGTTGTTGTGACGTGTAAATAGGGTACCATATTACAGAGGCATACTGGAGGCGAGAGATCACCAGAGCCATAAATAGCGTTTTCAGGGTACCAAAATCAGCAAATCGACCCATGATCCTCAGTATGAAACCCAAAGTTCTCCAAGCCTGAGAGCACATCTCCTCAATATAGGGCAAGAAAGAAAGTTCTGAGTCAAACAGCACTCCCAGATCCTTCACCGTAGAGACCCTTGTTAGAGGTATGGAAGCCGCAATATAAACTGTGTCGATTTTATTTAACTTCTTTGTAAATGATATATAAGTACATTTACTGACACTTAAAGAAAGGGCATTGAAATTGCACCACTTCTGAATAATGTCCAGGTTGTTCTGCAGCATCCTAGAGTCATCCAATGATCTGACCTCCACAAAAATTTTCAAATCATCAGCATAAGCAAGCACTGGACAGGTAAGCGAGTCTAATAAATCGTTTATATATAGAACAAATAGCAGCGGTCCCAGATTGGATCCTTGAGGAACTCCAGATGTAGGCGAGTAGCCGTCGGAATAAAATCCATTGTAAAAACACGACATACTCTATCAGCAAGGTACGATTTCATCAAATTTAATGAATTAGAAGACATACCAAAATAGCTCAATTTCTGTAGCAACATACTGTGATCAATGCGATCAAAGGCCTTCTCAAAATCGGTATAAACTACGTCGACTTGTCTATTAAGTTTTACACACGATTTCTAGCTAGCCTGGTAGCGGATTATAATATTTAGGAAGGCAATAAGTGAAGGATCGTTCAAATAACGAGGTCTAGTGTTTAGGAGGTGTAATAATACCTCTATTTCTAATATTGATATTATGAACATCTGTCCTGAATGATATTTTGTTGTATAGATACGGGGGCTTCTTCAACATGAGAAGCTTATGGTAGAATGATAACAAATGCAACTTTCTTCTGTTGGACATATTTAACCAACCAGCATCTATCAATTTATGAGACACATGATCATACCGTTTTAAACCGTATACAAGCCTGAGGCAAGCATTCTATACCCGCTGTACACGACTTACTAAAGCGCTATCCAGGTATCAAAAAGCTTATCACAAAAGGTGAAATGACTAAGTACAAGGGTATCGCACAGTTTTAACAGTGTAGTTTTAGATACTGTGTGCCTAATGCCATAAATTAATTTCAACGTTGCATATGATTTATTGGTTTTCTGTGTAATATGTATTTTAAATTTAATATCTGAATCCTGATACAATCCCAAATTACGAAAACAGCATCCTACATTAATTCGCAGACTATCAACTTCTATACTGAATTGAGGAGAATGTTCCTCCCGCAAACCCCGCCTACCAAGAAGCATAAATACCGACTTGGCACCATTATGTGCAGACGAAACTTCCACTAAGTTCCTAATTTCCCGCGTTAAAATAGTTTCAGCCAGAGACACATCACTGGGAACAAATCTCAGGTATAATTGAGTGTCATCTGCGTAAAAATGACAGCTACAGTGTTTCAAACTATTTGAAAAATTAGATGTATATAACGAAAACAAAAGTGGCCCCAATACAGAACATTGCGGCACACTCGCCGACACCTCCCGAGACTCAGATATAGAGTTGTTTATCTTAACTTTTTGGTATCTATTGCACAAAAAATTGGAAACCAATCATATAGCATTAGCGCTAAACCCAACAAAATTTAAGACAACTGGTTTTCAATAATCCAACAAAACTAACGCAGTCATATCGTTTTCATCAATCGCTCGGAGAATGTGGTCGGTAATATGCATTAACGCTGTTTCACAACCATAATGTTTACGAAATCCAGACTGATTTAGAGGTAGGATATTATAGCCGTCAATAAAAGTTCTAATCTGCCAGTCCATAACTTGCTCCACAACCTTTGCAAGAACCGGGAATGCTAATAGGTCGTAAATCCTTGTACTCTTGGGGATTAGAAATTTTTGGTAATGGAGTTACCAGAGCGGTCTTCCAACAGGAAGGGAAAACGCATTTCTCCAAACAGTAATTAACTGTGGAAGGGAAAATGCGTCAAATGTGGGAGTAGAAAAGGACAGCAGTACAAGAGCATTGACAACGAAATACCATCATCTCCGACAGCATTAGATTTCATTTTAAGTAAATAACTTGCAACTACGTTTTCATGTACAGTTTCGAAATCAAAATACTTCTGAAATTCACATTTTTTGTTACTGTTATAAAAGTGCATAACATCACTTGAAGGTGCTCCCAATGGAGAATCTGTCTGGAGAAAGTGGTTATTAATGTCGTTCGCATTTCTTAAATGCATGGGCAAAGTGTTTACTCTATCTCTGATTACTCCGAAATCATGAACAACATGCCACATCGCAGATGTCTCAGTTCGACTCGTTGCCCCCTCAAAGTACACCCTTT